AATCGACTTGCCATGTTGTCATGTACATCGTTTGCGAAGGTTGCAGAATTTGCATCAGTGTCACCGCCACATTGCATCTCATCAGATCACGGTAATCCGTCGTCCGCCATCCGTTCTTGGACGAGCGAGGTGTCTTGAATAACTTCGCAAATGTCTTCTCCTCGGACTCAATCACCTTCACGCTTTGACCGTCGTATGTGTAATCGCACTCCTTACCTGCACACGTCCCCAAGATTTGAGCCTAGTGCTCAATCGTTCAACTCTCAGGGTTGCCGCGAATTCCATTGCCTTCCGGTGCGCGTCCCTCATGTCATTCATTCACAATTGCCTCAGAATTCCAATTTCAATCCCACATCAATAGATCGAGCTTGGCATCTATCAACTCTTAGTTATACGCTCTCAATCCAAACTCCAATACTTTCACTATCGACAGTTGAAGTCCCAAAGATCGCTCCATTGCTGCGCTCTTAATTTCGCACTAGCGATCCTCACTGAACTCCGAATTCAAAAATGCACTTTCGTGAAATGTTAGCGCGGAACTCCCGTTTTTGCTAATGTACCTTGACGCCCTAACTGCATCGTGAACTCGTGCAAATTTGTGGTACAAGTGCTATATTTTTCCTTCCAGCCGCTGCCGCCTTTCACTACGCCGAAGGCCCTTCTGCTGTAATGCCGAAGGTGTTTTCGCCTTCGTCTCACTTTGTACTTCACTTCCTACACTCGTAACTTGGAAGTACCTCATCCATTTCCAGCGTTCTTGGGCTCGTTATAACGAGCACGCTGAGTTCTATCTATCTAGATCCTGCCTAAGTCAAGTTGCTACTAATTGACAAAGTTATGAATCATCTACTCTAGTGGATCATAAATCATCTTATTCAACTTTTCAATGCCTACAAATTAAAACACAAATTCAACAGAGAGGTATCTAATATGGATTACACTATTCCTTACTTGGCATCTACTACAGAATTCACTATTTAATCTACTTCAAAGTATTCTTATATTAAAATTCAAATTTCTATTGATCTACTTCTTAAACTTAATCTCTTCGAAAAAAATGAAAAACTACATTACCACAAGTGAAAAATTGACATTATTCTTTGGATAGAAATCTATATATCTCCTCAGATCGTTCAAATTTTAAGCTACAACATATGAAGAGGAAACCATTTCAAGCCTTTTATTAGAAAACATAAATTGAGAGATGTCCATGCTTTATAGCAAGGAGTATGAACCCAACAAAGTGAGAAAGAGCAACATGGGGCAGTGGACTGTAAAATGATGGGATAATTATCAAACCTAAGGCCCAATTCTGAGATTGGTGACCAGGCATGTTTAAAAGTAAATGCTTGGAAATGGCTAGAACCTTTCCAAACCTCCATATTGTATGTTTACTAAAGTAAAGATTGATGCTTCTTTTGAGTTTCTATAAGCACGTGTCTTAAAATACTCAGGCCCAAGGCATGTAAAAGCCGGTACATGTGCAGCTAGTTTTTTATGCACAAACAGCTACTTATAATAGTTTAAAAATTTTCAGTTTTTGTTCTATTCAAAACATTATATGATTTGAATAGTAAATGAGAGATATGAATTAATGAAAAGATAAACATGCATTTAATATAATTTCTTCCTTTACAGGTTTTAGTAGAACGTCTTCTCTTCGCAAAAATATGAAAAACAAATGCAATCATTAACAGTTATACTTATAACTGTTTAGTATAAGTATGACTAGTAACGAGCTTTACACATCATTATGCTTAGAGAGGGAATGAACTCCATGAAGACCACATACTATCAATCGAATCAACGCAAATTCTATCCAACATAGATTTTTAGTTCGGATGCCACCATCTTAATACGAGCGATCTGATATAGTGAATCATCCGATCGTACGTGATTCATTCTCCCTCTGTCGTGGACGTGGCGGGGCCGCACTAAATTGTTCGCCTTTCCCGCTCAGACTCCCAGATATATTGCGGTAAGATTTTGTCAATGTCGAGTGCGTGTGTTCTGATCGATCCAGTCGTAATGCTCGCGATCCTTCGCTTAATCTCTCCAGACTGCAGCAGAAAGCCTCTCTTCCTGTGCATGTGCTGTACTCGAAGCCTGCCTGCCGGTCAGATCCCGGTTACAAGATTCGGGTTCGTGGGTGGCTCAGTCAGTGCCCATGAACGGACCCCGGTCGACTGTATTCGCCCCAGCGATCTACCAGCGACGTAGAAATTGGTCGAATCGATGCGAGAAAATATCAATGGTATATTCCCCAGAATTTCTCAGATTTGTCCGACCCGATTTCTCGTAGAGTCGAAGGCGATCGTACGACTGAATTTCATACAACCCCAAGTCCAGACGAAGGAAAAATGAAAAATTACGCCTCCGGCAAATGTGAAGCAGCAGTAGCAATAATAATAAAATCGCCCTCGAACTTCGGTTGTACATTTTTGTGTCTGCCCGTCGTAATACAAAAGGTTCGCGAAGGGAGACGAGAGGAGAGGAGAGGAGAATTGGCTCAATAATCGTCGGCAGTATGCGAGAGTAGAGTATGCGTATCGAGGAGTGGCGAGTCGAATGTGGTGGTACAAAAAGGCAGGACTCGGGCCGTGGCGAGGCGAGGGAAGGCAGGCTGCATTAAAGAGTGGGGACCGTGCTGTCTCGGCTGGAGTCCGGAGCTGTAGTGGAAAGTACACCGATGTCGAGGAGGCATGCGCGGACGGGCAGAGAGTGAGAGCGAGATGGAGATAGGGAGAGGTGTAGCAGTAGAACTGATTGAGAAAGGCAAGGCAAGGCAAGGCAAGGGAAGGAACGAAGGAAGGCAAGTACCGTATCTGGGTGGAGCAGGCACTATGATAGGCAGAGAAGGCAGGGAGCGTGGCAGACAGCACCGGTAGTAGAAGGGCGTTGCGGAGATGGGAATCGGAATAGAGGCATCAGACGAGGGAGCAGAAGAAGTAGAAGAAGAAAAGAAGAAAACACTGACACCAGCAGGAGCTGCAGCATCCAGATCGTACGTACTCCCTAGGACTCGTACAGTACATGGCTATGACTGCTGGTGCTGGTGTTGTTCCTCGGTTGTTCCTTCATTCGTGCGAAGCAGATTGTTGGGAGGTATGGACGGGAGACGAGTGGAGCGTTGGCCTCGGCCTGGGTTGTTACACTGGAGCATCTTTCACTTGTTGTGGGGTTGTATATAGATCATGATGCTGTACATATCTTGTACGATGATGTTTAATATGTAGCACAGCGGCAGTGGCAGCAGCAGCGATTTGTTGCGGTCCGGGAGAAAATTGCCGGATAGCGGGGGTCGGAGCTAGAGGACATAGATGAACGAATGATGAGGAAGTCTGGCACTCGCCCCCTTCCCTCTCGTCAAGTCCTTCGTTCCTCCTTTCCGCTTCGCTGCGAAACCGTCGAGTCCAATTGTTTGAAGGTGTACAACAACGACCAACAACAACCATACTGAGTGGAGTGGATTCATAGCACCAGCAGCTGAATGACTGTACTGAGCTGTACCTCGGCCCCGCATCGTGGAGGGTACATTGATCGAAGGACGGTGTGAGCGAAAGAAAGCAAGCGAAGATGAAAGCTGGTGTAACTCCTGCTCCTGCTCCTCCTCTCTAGGTAGATATGGCGCAAGGTACGTGGCTACTTTTCTGACAGCAAGGGAGGAACGGGGCCGAGAGCGCGAAAGTATTATTGATCGATGATGCAACGAACGAGCCGTCGAGGCGAGAAGCCGATGCTTGAGCCTCGGCCCTTGAGAGGTTCCAACGACAGCTGTTAACAATTGCCTGTATGCGGGCCGGTCTTCGCAGTAGTTTCGTGACTGATGATCGTACGCACAGCTGCTAGAGACGATCCGCTTCTAACCAGATCTCAGAATGTAGCTTGTCGACAAGTCGCCCTTGTCGTCCCCTCGGCTCAGCTCGGCTCAGCCCTAGCTGGCCAGAACAGGTCGAGCCCGGCCGGCTACGACGGATGCAATTACATGGCTCGGTCTGGCGGAATCGAGGAGAAGAGAAAAGAAGAGCAGAGCAGCAGAGAGAGCAGAGCATAAGAGCGTCCGTCCGTATGTAAGAATTGCAGGTCCGCAGATGGCAGAAATGCGCTGGGGTTGGAGTGCATGCTAATCTTCTGCACGTGACATCCTTGCGCTCGGGCAGGACGACCTTCGTTGTTCCTCAACGTGGCCACACAACTGGCGCGCAGGGATCATCAAGATAACGCTATAGGAGTGGGTGCCTTCTTCTCCTATGGATCAGAGTTTGAGGCCTCCTACTCGTATTGTACGCACAGCACAGCGCAGCACAGTCAGTCAGGCCGGCCGTCCCGCCCGTCCCGTCCGTCAGTGACCGGGGCTCATAGTTTCCAACCAGCGAGCGCTGATCATGAGCAGGTCCTTTATGCCCATGGCAAGGGCACCAGGTTCTAGCATTTATTATTCGTGCGTCCCGGTACGTGACTCTTGAGAGCTAGCTAGCGCTGGTTCGAGGACGGACTACGGCCCATCCATCCGACCAGCGACGACCCAGTGCCTCAACTGTGGCATCGGAGGCTTGGGAAGTTTGGAGCCAGTCTGGCTGGCTGTCTGTCTCGCTTTGACTTGCGATCCGTGCCATATGTACGAGCCTCGAGAGGCGCCGTATCTCAAAGCTGGTCGGCACATCACATCCTACATCTCATGGCTTCCCTCCGGCCTACACCCGCCGAGACCCGCCCCGTACGCAATGCACAATCAATCACGTACAGCGACGCTGTGCATCTGCATCTGAATCTGCCCTTGTGCGGGAGTGTGCAAGAGGGTGGGGGGCGACTGTGAGTGCGATTCTCGCCCTGGCACCGTTACGGTGCTGGTGCTGGTGCTGGTCCTGATATATTCATATTCCCGAGTCCAGACTTCGGACATCAGTCGGCCTTGGCCTTGCTCTTGCTTGGAGCCATGTCGCCATATCCCCAGTAAATTGATCTGCATTGGAGATGGGTTGCGGGTGGGGATCGCGGAGATGCCACAACTGCGTCATCGGACAGGCCATACATTTCACAGATGCGGGGTCATCGACTCGTACGCCGGATCTGCTCGGTCCCTCGCTCCGTTTCATCCTCGGCTTCTACCGGTTCCGGTGAGGATCTTCCGAGGCCAGGCTGAGGATAGTTTCGGGCATACACTACTAGCCTACGGTCGTCAAAGTGTCTAGAGCTGTCCGTCCGTCTGTCCGTCTTGCGCCAAGGCTGTGTGTGCGTGCGTGTGAGAGAGAGATAGAGCCATGAGATTCTGCCGAGTCCTGTCCTTCAACTTCAGGATACGCGAATTTTGAATTTGGAATACATCTTCAGGTGCCGACAGTGAGTTCCTACACGGATACAGTCAGTACACACGCATCTCTCGATGTCTTGCTCTCGTGAAGAAACACGTATGGCCTTCTCATCTGAACTTAGTCTGAAACTCTCTCCTGCCGAGCAGTTTGTGGGCAGCTCGAGGCTCGAGCTCACTTCTAATTACATGCAGTGTACAATTGGCTTTGAGTACTGATTTTGTGTACATACGAAAAGGAAGCTAGCTAGGTACTCGAGTGCTCAGATGTAACCTGACTTCATATGCAGATTCCGGAGAACAGACACGCCAATGCTACTTGCGCTAACGTTAAGAAGCTTCGCGGATGGTCATATGGAGCTCGTGGGCTACAGTCCATCTCGACTTTGCCTCGACACAATTGCACAAGCCTCATCCCATTAATTTCTATTGAATTCAGACGCGCCACACTGCCAGACCAGCTTTGTGACATGTTCTCCGCATATACTTCGAGTTCCCGAAACCGAGACCAAGGTACTGTCGGCGAATGGTTACAATCCGGAGCTATCGAGATATGCTTTGACCCTGGACACTTCTGTCTGTATCCCGTGGCGATTCCTACTAACCAGGTCTTGCTGCCGGCACATTTCAGAAACTTTGTAATATTCTCCCTCGCCCTTTTGAAAAATGCCAGACGCACATTAGCAAAGCATACATCAACGCAGGAGCATGATACGTATGCTTCAACCTTAGTGGGCTATTCCAACTCTCATTAACTTCCGACCACCTTCAACCCAGTGCAACCCAGGACCCCGCCATTGAGTTCGTTGTTGGTTGTGGTGTTAAAGGGCTTTTTTCTTCAAAAGTACAGGAACATCCTGGTGTGAGTTACTCACTCATCGTGGCGGGGTGATCGTAACGCCTGTCCCTCATCTACCACCCGGGGATGATTCTTCTGCAACTGGTTCCTGATTAAAAAATAATACCATATCTCATGGCACGAGTCAGCGACAAATTGAGTATGCTCTAGCTCCCACTCCATGCCGAGGAAACGTGTGAACGGGATCACGTCCTCTCACATAAGCATGCGAGGACCCATCTGAGGCAAATCCACACTTCTCAAGGATCAGGATACGTTTCATATCGAACGTGCGCTTAACATCTGACCAGCATTGAACGCCTGCCTCGCGCTGAGGATTCAACTTCAAATCGTGGGGCTCTTTTTGGGTCAAACATATTGCTTACGTTTCATTGATTTACTCGTCATACGAAAACCTAAGTTCTCCCCAATGTGGTTCCAGCTTGATGGACAGTTACTCTGAACACCAATTCAGCCAACCGATACAGTGTGCGATTTGAACATCAAAGCATATGTTTCCTTCGGATCTTTTTCCTAGATTTTATGGAATCGAGCAAAGAGTTGATAATTAACTAAGGCTGCGTCTCCTTTCTTGTTAAAGCGAGATTGAAAAGAAGCGTGTGAACAGATGCCACGTAGAGAAGCTGCGATACGCAGGGGCTAGAGTCCTCTAAAGAACCGTCAGGTTGTCACGAACCATTTCGAATGTCACGAACTATTTCCAATGACAAAATTCATGAAAAATTTGACATGGTTTCACTTGCAGTATGGAATCTACTCCGGTTATAATGCTCACCAATTAGAAACACGATATGAATTGTGAAACAATCCACGGAGATTTTGTAGTTGCAGACGACAAAATAATGACTCATACATTTCGCAGTTGACATGTTCAAATCACGAGTAAGAAAATCATTGGGCCCTTTACTAGCTGATCCAAGCGTCAGCATGTACTTCAGAGCAAGCTCTATAACCATCTTCGACTCTCATTTAGAGCACGAAGGTAGACGCTCATAGCGTCCATGAGTTCTCCTCCCTAAACTCTTCCTCCCTCCTAATATAGATATGATCTGGAGCTAGTACAGTAAAATCAACATCTACATTTAATGTACACGGGTGAGAGTGGTGTATTCTGATAGAGAAGTAACTGTGACGGGTGTTCAAATCGGCATGGACCTGTAAAGCTGTAAGCAATATACTTGGAAGTTTCGAGGTCCTAATCACTAGGAGAGAATCTTCTGCTAAAACCTGGCAGTTCTCGACACCGTAAACAAAGCGGTATCTGGAATAATTATTGTCCCAGACCGCTTTCACTGTAATAACTGACTGAGCAGAAGTGAATCAATAATGCACGGCCTTAGGTCACTGTATAATGTTGAGATATGTTTGATCAGAACCGAATCTTCCTTCACGAACCACGAGCCATGTGGATTTAATGACCAACAGCAGCGCGATCCTTGGAAGCAGAGGTGCGTCTGCACTTCTGTGATCCTTTCACATCCCTGGAAATCTGAAAGGCAGCCATTGCAGCCTTGTCCACCTGAGATCACCAGTGACTGACGAGTCATTCAATTTGTGATCAGAGCTAGGGTGAAAAAAACCGATGAGCGTCACATGACAAGCATTTGTAGCTCCGTAGATCCGAGCCAATAATACGGGCAGTCGACGCATTGTCGGGGAAGTACCACAACACCTGAATGGGTTTCTCAAAAGCTGGTAGCCAATATCTCAATATTCCTCATATGCAGGAAAGACTTGAGTATTGGTTAGCACTACAGTAGTTGGTGCCAGACCTAGACTTCGCATGGAAAACCGCAGCCCTCGCAGAAGTGTACCATCTTGCAGCTGCAGCTTTTGATCTGGTGCTGCCGCTTGGACAGTTCTGCTTGAATTAATCGAATGTGCAACAGTGATGTACTCCGGCATATTTGGGTGTACACTCGTCGTACGATAGCTTGTTGCTTTGCGAGAATCGGTCGGTGCCAATGCAACACATCTGACAACGAGCTGGAACGAGCTTCGGAGAGCTTCATTTTTGTGTACTCCACCAGCTGTAGAACACTCACTGAGCGACTAACGTCCTGCAATTCAGATCTCGAAGTAATTGAGAGTGAGCGTTCTGACTTCTCGCAACATATACTAATTCTCTGCAGGACTGATGCTTCTGATTTCCTCCGTTCTTCGTGAGCGCTAAGAAAGCTCGTCCAGCTGGGTGACTGTCGCACCTCTCGACGCTGGTATCGACGGGCATTTCAAAACACGTCGAAATTTGCACGGATGGATGGACACCACCAGCCGAGAGTAGCAACTATCAGAACTCCTACCCACAAGCTGGCCACATCTGACCACCACCCCAAAAACCAACGAGAATAGAAAAGACAAAAGGGAACCCTCACACCATGTACACATCCCACAACCGTGATCACGAAACGTGAGAAACCAAATTCCACGCACATTGTCTAGCATACAGAAAGGGACTGCAACCCACAAGGAATCATCGTTAAGGAATTAGAAGCACAAAATACGCACACGGCTGCTGACTAATCTATTCCACCAGAAACACTGACCCCGTGTATGACCTTTCCACAGAAGAATCAACCACCGAACCCTCGCGCACGACCTCCAATATTTCATCATATAATGCACGAAAAATTCGACACTAACGCACGAGATGATCAGGCCTCTCAAGCAAGTAAGTAAATCTATCAAACATCAGTGAGGTGTGCACCCAAGACAGAAAGCTAGTCGCACCTTGCGGGAGGTAGCGACTTCTCCTGCATGGCCCCCTGAATGCCAGCTACGGAGCCTGTCAAGGTCTCTGAGGAGCTCCTCAGTTGGCATACAGGGAGCCAGGCAAGTGCAGTCTGGCCTCCCCAATTAGTCGCGTCGAGCAAGTCCTCGGATCTCGAAACGGGCTGCAGTCGGAGAGAGGAGGTGCGGCAGATCGATTCACAAAATTGTCGCTCGAGCTCGCGACCCCAACCGAGTGTGCCCTTCGATGAAGAAAGTCGGAACGCCCGCGGGGAGACGAGGGTTGTGAGTGAGTGTGACAATCTCACCCATCGCCCGGGCTAAATCGTAATCAGCCAGTGAGTGGGTCAGTGAGCGGGACGTGTCAAAAAGAAAGAAAGAAAAGGATTTGAGCTTCGCTCCCATCGCCACGCCTCACGCTCGCCCGGCCGCCCCCTCCCTTCTCTATCCGTCTCTCTCGTGCTACGCTACGACTGTATTCTACTGACAGGAGAAGGATGGGTGTCCAGAAAAACCTCGCTGCTCAGGGCGGGGGGTCACAGTTCCGTTGGTGTGGTGCGGCCTAGGGGAAGGAAGGGAAGGGAAGGGGAAGGGAAGGGGGGGTGCGTTTGTTCGTTCGTGTCGCTTTTCTCTCTCCCTCTCTCTAACCACCTCGGCCTCTGGGCGCGCGCTCGGGGGGGGTCGGGGGTCGGAGGCTCTCTAGGTCTCCAGTTGCGCGAGGTGTTTCAATCTTACGCTGCAACCGGCACAAGTTGTCTTTTAACGCAATGACTGCACAGCAGGCCAACAAGTCGACCCATTTATGAGGTCGAAGCAGAAAAATTCTTCGCGACGAGTGTAACCACAACTAACTCGATGCGCTCTGACAGAAATTTCCCCAGCTGTCGGTCCCACTGTCGAGGGACGGTCTTCGGAACTGACATCTTGTCTCTTCTACCTCCCCCCCCCCCCCCCCCCCCCCTTCTGCTGCTGCTCCCTCTCCTTCTATAGATATCTATCACCAACGAAACACTGCCCTCGCCTGCATTGCTGCTGCCGGATCGGCACTGCGAGTGTTCCTTTCTCCCCTCCCCACGCCCTCCCCCTCCTCTACACCTTCGCACGGCCTCTTCTCGTATCTTCTCTCTCTCTCTCTCTCTTTCTTCAGACTCTTCCCACTTCTCTCCCCAGGCCCTCCGAAACTCAAATATAATCGCAATCACGCAGAGCATGACATCGGGCTCCCTCAAGTGGAAACCGGAACTCGCTTTAAGTCTTTCGTTCCTACAGGGTCCTACCACCGAAATCCTCCTCTCTCTCTCACTCACTCACTCTCTCCCTCCTCTGCTCTCGGCTTCTCGTCTCTCGCCTGGCCTTGCACTTCTGAGCTCGCCTCCCTCATCCAAATATTTTCCATCGCCGTGCCTATTTATCTGGCCCCTTCCCCAAAGATTCCTAGGACTCTCACCCTCCCTGAGACCCTGCAGCGAAAAGTAGGAGCAGCAGTCTAGGCTAAAGCTGAGGGGCCTGGCCTAGGTGGGACGGGAACTACCGGTAGAGCAGCAGGGCAGGGCAGAGCAGAGCCCAGCCCAGCCTCCTCCTCTTGCTGCCTCCCTCCTACTACTCCTCCTCCTCCTCACTCACTATGACTTCTGTTGTTCTGTTGGGTCTTGTTCCCCGCCTCCCACCACTGTCGAATCTCTCTGTGCAGCAGTGGAGCAGATTTAATTTCTGTTGTTGTGTGCACCATCTGTTCGAGCTCACTGGTGCAGTAGTTCTGCCTGCTGCTGCTGGGCATGTCCATGTCCATGTCCATGTGCTGCGATGTGATGTGATCTATTCTATGCTATGCTATGCTCGCTCGCTTGCATGCATGGCCTGCCCGCCCGCCCGCCCGCCGCCCCTCCCTCCTTCACATGGCGCCCCGCCATCATCATGATGCCACATGAATGCATGCATGCATCCATTCATCCATCCTCGCTACCACGCTAGTGCAGTGTGCCCGGCAAGCGCAAAGTTCATGCCACGCCCGCTCCCGTCGTCGCTCCCCCTCGGACCCGTCCTCTGCCCTCCGCTCCCTCTGTAGATAAGGAATCCAACGATGTACTACCTCTCGAGCTCTGCTGCTGCTGCTGGCCTGCGAGGCTTTCTTTCCTTGCTGGGCAAACTCGAATCTCGAGTCAGTCCGACGACGACGTCCGAGTCATTCCTTCGCGATCCAACCGGTGTTCAGAGTTCAGAGGTCCAGTGTGTCGTGTACCGGAGGGTGCGTGGTATGCTATGTGATGGAACGTAATGCAATGCGATGCTATAGAATGCTAGGCGAGCGAGGAGAGGAGGCCAGCCGAGCTGACGGTCAAAGTAGTATTTAGTGCATTCAAGGCATGAGTACTCTTCTTCTACTCGTCTACAGTTGTTGTACTATCCTTTTCTCCGGTCAAATATCTCCATTCCTCCTCCTGCTACTGCTCCTCCTCTGGTCTTGTTCTCTGGCATTGAAATCTGTAGTCTGACTGTCCATATACTACACCTTGATCCAATACAACCTTAACTGCTACGTCCGGCCATCGTCAGTAGCGCTCCCATGTATCGCTCTGTGATAACTTCCCTCCAGGCGCAAACTGTACCACCGACCGACCGAGTGAATTCGACCGAGCGAGAGGGAGCCGTCACTCATCTCCTCATATCTCCTTCTACCAGTCGACTTGTCATAAATCATCTAAAATTAGATTCGATCAGGATTCTCACCTGCTGCTGTGCCGTGATGTGTTTGCAATACCGTATTTGGGTCCTGTTCAGATTATGATTGGCCTTGCTATTTTCCTCTCCCCCCTCCCCCCACCCCCATCCCCGTCCCTCCCTTTCCTCCGACATCTTTCTCTTCTCCCTCGCTCCTGTACACTACAGTGAGTTGTCATCTATGACCCTCTACTTTGTACCTCCATTGTCATAACATCGACCCACCACATCCCACTTCACCAGTATCTAAGTCAGAAAGAAATTTATAATTCTTCTTAGCAACTATATCAATAGTCTTATATATTCTCTAAATATCTGAGGTCTCTAATTTTTTAATTTTTGGGAACTGGTGTCACCACCCTCACTTTACAAAACAGAGCATACATTCATCTAGAAGATTTCTATAATGTCGGCTTTGTGATTTTATTGTTTGGACTTAGGGTTTATCGATCTGCTGGGAGTCACTTTCGCCTTGACTGGATGCGAATGTCCGGTATATATAACCTCCAATCCGCCAAGCCCAACATTGGATCTCGAGTGCAAGTACATCGTCTACACGTAGCAACAACTGAAATTATTACTTCCTGTTGTGCACACGTCGACAAATTCGATTTTGTATTATTTTTCAAGTATATCCTTAGCTAGTCAGTAGTCTCTACTCGACATGCACTAATTTGCCACTCATTCTCGCCATCACTGGCCTTTTGAAACTCTGATGACGACTCAAAGCTCTCGGGCATGGTTGCAGAAAGTATCACCAGAAAAGCTTCTTTAGGTCTTCAATTCCTGCCATGTTGAACTCCATTTACTCTATTTTACATTTGACTACATCAGGAAAAGTATGTTCTTCGATTGTCAACCACCTCACAATCAGACCTACACAGTCACAGATTTGATATCTAGTCCATCAGTTACTGGGATCGCAGGGTCGCGGTTCATTCCACTACCAATATGATGAAGATTATCAGCGTCTGGAGATAGTTCACTTTCCTTTCAGTTATGCGCATATTTCAGATTTTACAAACAACATCAGTCTTGTCTGTCTCCCTACCTCAGTACTCAATTCTTGAGCGAGCCAGTTTGCTGTGTACAGGACTTCAGCTTTCAGTAAAAGACAAAAGAAAATAGGGTTGGCTTAATTCTTCACCAATGCCCCGGACAATATTAGTTCACAAGATAAAAACGTAGATCCAAAGAAAGAAAAGAGCATGAGGAGCAGTACAAGAGAATTCTTTTTCTTTGGAGCTGGTTACCGACTCAATTCCTCCCTGTCCTCTGAACGTTATGCTCTTTTCAGTTTGTGCGTTGTATCAGTAGATAATTTTTTTCAATACAATTTTAAATTTTTGTTATCACAATGTACCGTAGCCCAATGATTTCTGTGAGTGAGCCATTCGGCTTGTGAATAAAAAGTTGTGCAACATTGCTATTTTTTTTATTCCTATTAGACACTGAATGTTAGAGAGATTTTTACTTATGTAGACTCGAACAAGAAGATTTTCAAACATTCAGAAATCTATGTAGAACAAAAGTGATATGGTTGATACATCTTTTAATATTTTTCAATTCAATAGTAAGGTTGAAGAATATTCTACAATACAAATAAAGTATAGCTTATTTCTTAATGATATTTACAAGCACATCGATATCCAAACTTGTATATATTTAACACATTTCAAAAGTAAAAAAAAATATTATGTTCCAATAGATATTTTTTGAAAGAAAGTCTTGCAAAGTCTGAACCATCTCATTCTAGAACATAAAATTTTCTAGTTTGAAATTAAAATATACAGTTTGAATCATATGCACTTAAAGCCTTGATGAAATTCAAAAGTAATAGAGGTTTGACTTTTATCATTATTCGGATCTTATCCATACCAACATAAACTCTTAGTCAAACTTCAACTAAGTTTCAATTATATATCAAATAAATGCCTTTTTACTCATCCTGTACCATTGACTTGTATACTATTTCATCTAATATCTCCTGAAGGGTCTCTATCGAACAGAAGTATATAATTAAATATTATCACATAGATATATTCGAAGTTTAACGTAGTAGAATCTTAGCACGATTAAAGGGTTCATTTCCTTGACGACATTCTTGAAAGAATGAAAAATATACTTTTAAGGAAGATCGTTAAATTTTCTATCATTTAAATTCATAATTGTCCACTTTACAATTATTCACTGCACTTATGATGTTTCAAAAAGTAGAGTTACCAGATAATAATACATATTGATTTGTACGATTTAGTTAGTATTATTGGTATATCTTATGATTCTCAGCGTAGATTTTAATGATCACGATGGAATCTACTGACATAACTATTGCAATCTCTGAAAATATAAGTTAGTACAACCTAATGGAGAATATTTGCATCATGTAGGCAGTAACAGTGCTTCATAATAAACTCTTCAGATTTATTTCTCTCATTGCACACTTTACGCATCTACTGCAGCAAGTAAAAATTTAGAAAAATAGCAAAATGGCTGTTCAAAAGCTTTGATCCATGATTTCTCCTTTAATAGTTTTATTACGACTTGAGCAAAAGTGCGAGAGTTAGTTGTTGCAAGAGACAATGGAATAACGAAACGTAATCACCTGAACTCTAGAATTTTGAATACTGGATAATCTGTGGATGATCTTATTTTTTTCCCTTTCTGAATTTCACTCATGTCATGTAATTATGTTCTTATATAGCAATTATAGTCTACACTCTTTCACATATTTAATTTATATACAGCAACCACAGTTTATCCAACCCTAAACAATATACTCAATAGATTAACTTATCACGCTTCAGGGCTTTGACGCTAGCCCAGCTTCAGATGCTGAAGCTCTGTTCTAGTCAGGTCCAGCAGACGTCTCTTATTGCGTTCTTCAGAATTTGCAATATCGTCAGGGAAGAAAAGGAGGTTTTTCCAGTGGTTTCGAATATGTTCGGGTGGCAGATGATATGGTAAAGTAGAAGCCATCCTCGAGCACAGTGGAGTTCCAAAACAATGCTCTATGATAATATGCACGTACCCTTGACTACCCAGCCTCGACAGGCGAAATCCTGGAAGGGGCCTGTCTGATAACACGAGCTCGTCGATGTTCGTCTCGTCGTAGCGGGAGCCATAAGATCAATCTCGTCAGTCGACATAGAAGAGCTTTGAATGAAGGCGCAATTTGGAATCCTAGGCCTTGAATAGCGGCGGGGAGACATTCTCAACCCCCTCTTCCCACGGATACGAGAAAATGTATGCGGAATCACGAGGTCCGGGCGGTCAAAAGGCTCGCACCGATGACTCCAAGCTCAGCGTACAGTACGTGAATGAGATATGCAGGCCTGGCAGGCATACGACGACATGTCGACGAGATTAGATGAGTTTGTTGCGACGGATTGTTCCAGGGTAACCGCAGGCGAGGAGAAGTAGAGAGCGAACCCGTACGCAGGCAGGCAGGCACAGTGGAATGAGTAGAATGGGGTACGCGGGGCCAATAAGGGCGCAGCACGTAGTGCATAATGGTCTGACTGAAGGCTTTCGGGGTTAAATGCAGAAGAATTATGTAAAAGAGGGCGAAGGCTCTCCATGAGAGATGAATCCAGGAATCTGTCTACGAAGCCCTGCAGCAAATGTATCTCTGAGTTGTAAAGACAAAATATCATCATCAGCAGCAGGTCGCATGGAGGGTAATCACTCGTGCATGCTTACTACGTGTGGTAATTTCGAGTCAGATACAACGTAGCCTTTTCAGCAGCACGCTACTCGGTCCAGAAGCCTAACCACTCACTCACACAGTTGATGCTTGCGCGAAGTCGAGAGAGTTGAGACCGACCGACGCTTGACGCTTACACCTTGACACCTCATCAGATTTTTGTGGGTCATCCTGGAATGACCTGGATCGAAGCATTGTCTTATTGAGCAATTTGCCAACTGATCCAGACAAGAATCGGTCATCATCATCAGCTCGACATGGAAGCTAAGAGCCAGTCTGGACTCTGGAGTTTGCATGCCTTCCTAAAATCTCAAAGTGGTTGTTGAGACCGGAGAAATGCCCTTCTGTCGAGACCACCGCGATGAGACTCGAGCGCTTTTGGACTTTCGGCACTATGGTTGCGCCCATTCCAGGCGAGCGAGCTGCATCGAGAGGGCATCTGTCATTCTTTTCGAGAATGATTTTCCCCCACAGCACAACGCTGAATGCCGAATTGTCCAAATCGATTGTCACTGCTCTGCGAAAGTAAGTTCTCCAAACTTGTCCTTTCCTAAATTTAGTGCTCGCTAGCGAACTGTGGCAGCGGCAGCAGCAGCAGCAGCCTCGGCAGATCATAAAGTTCTGGATCCAGCGCGCTTTACAGTGCCATGTCCATGAGCGTCCATGGGCGTTTCACACTCGAGCCCCCCTCCGACGACTCGCGTGAGAGAGTCTGAGCCTTTCTGAGACGGGGTCGGGGCTGATGAGGTAAAGCTCTCGCGCTCGCTGATCACTCACTGCTCATCGCCTCCCTCCCTCCCTCGCTGTGCTCTCCCCTGCTCTGCTCGCCTGCGCGACACTGCACTGCACTGCTGCCGCAGCAGCAGCACATTCAAACCTAGAACCTTCTCACGAGCGGCCCTCCAGTCCATTCGATTGCCAATGGATGAGGCCAGCGAGTGGGTAGCAAGTTAAGTCTCAGATCGCATACGGCGAGCGCTCATCTACACAACCGAATTATGTCTGCACATGCCAGAGGCTCGGGTACGTACGAAGTCGTTATGCTTCTTCTTCGCGCTCGCGCTCGCGACCGGGCTCGGGCTCCACTCAAGCGTATGCGGAGTCACGGACTCGCTCACGCTGGATCGAGGAGCGACAACATACCTGGAAAAATGATTGGCCCTATTAATTGGTCGCGTTACAAACCACCCGATCGGTCGTTCTCTCGCTCGCTCGTTCGTTCATTGATTTATTCAGTTGTCATTGTCAACGAGGTTATAAAACTCGCGGAATCTATAAGTGACCACTGGCTCCACTTTCTTTTGACCCGAACGAGCCACCGACGGCCAGTGATACATACTGTACACAAAAGGCGCAACAAATATATAAAAATACGCAAATATTTCTCGCTCGCGGTATGACAATCTCACGTCAATCATTCACGACGCAACCACCGCACCAAAGCCCCGCCCGCAGTCGAGTCTACGACCAACAGTGGATAAATATTGCACACCCAGATGCCACATACACTGCATGTTGTCACACCTTGCCCGGATCGAGAAATACTCGGTCCAGTTCAACGGATCCTTCGGACCGGATATCAGATTCAATACTCTTCGAGTCTGATATCGTAGCTCCGAGTCTTCATAAAAAAATAGAAAATAGCGGTTGATCTCGCCACTTCGCAGCTCTAGATTGGGGGGGGAGTGGACCCAAGGTGCTGCTCGTACGGCAGGTGTATATTTCCAGCTTGACTTCTCCATGGACCTTTTGTGGATCTCGGTGGCGAATGTACACACAAAAGTCTAGAGAAGCGTAGTGAGGTTTGGTGCCCAGCGCTGACCGTATGTGGACGAGGCGATGGAGAATGAACCATGGTATGTTCTTTGAGTGAGTGAGTGAGAGAGAGAGAGAGAGTAGCGTGGTGTCGGACTCGTACAATTACCGACGTGAATTTGCAATTTACGAAAAGGGACTGCAAGTGTGGATAATCGATTTGACCTACACTACGCTACGCAGTGGAAAGTGGGGAATCTGCTACAGGCATACGGGATCAGAGTATCTCGTTTGTCGCCGGAGAAATGCGTCTACCGGGCCAGAACTGGTAGTTAGGAGTAAGTAGATCTCACGCTCTGCAGACAAAGAATTCGCTCGCTCATGGCCCGGGTCGGGTCGGGGACGACTGGCTTGACCGTGGAGGGGCGAGTGGGGAGTGGGGAGTGGGGAGGCCATCGACGGCTCGAAGAGAGCCCCAGCTCGCTCGCTCGCTCGGCCCAGGTCGCGTCCATGTGGCGGTCTTGCGAGGTGCGAAGCTCTCGCGCATCACGAACGAAGGCCCGAGGGCATGTCCGATGCCAATGCGCGCAGATATACAGTAGCAGATACGGCGGATTGAGCTCTTGACTGTTTCGATGGCCCGGGGCGAACACATGCTCTGCTGCCGCCCGTGACGTCGTGGGCGATCTGCGCGCAAGGTTCCAAAGAAGGCCGCGGGCCGAGCGAGGGCGAATACGAATCCGGGGTCTGGGCAGATGGCGGACCAGGCTGGAAGCGCCGATCATACAGTTGTGCTGCGAGGACCGAAAGCGGGGGCTTCTTGACCACTTCTGTGCGGCCAACGAGACACACTCATGAGAATATTGGTGGGGGGAGCTCGCTCGCTCGCTCGCTCTCGGCGACATCGCTAGGCCGCGCGGGTAGGTTAGTTGGTCGTTGAGCAGCTGAGCGGAGCTGAGGACAGAATGCGGAGGGGGCCAAAACAGGTGCCCTGGAAGCTAATGCGTCCTTATGCCCTCCTCCGTTGCTCCACGCGATACAGTAATGAACAAAAATGTGTAGTCGTACGCCTCTCCCACTCCCTTTGAATTCTCAAACGGTTGAAGCCTGATTGGATAGTTGCCAGAGCGAGTTGGTGCAGCGACGGACGGGCCTGGGTCTGGGACTGCGTGCCAATTCCCAAAAGCATGCTATGCTGTAAATAGAAATTCGGCAAGTTTAGAGCCTGATATTTCCGCTGTCGGAATCGTGTGTGCTGCATTTGACAGGATAAGAAGTCATGACAGTTACTTGAAGGTTCTTGCCTATCCGCCCCCTCAGAGCCTCGCTGCCTCATTAGGTGGCCTTCTTCTCCACCGAATTCGGAAGCGAGGCATTTCGCACTTACGAGGACCTTACATTAGGGGTGCTTCTAATCTGGCTCTGAAGCGGCCTCAGGCACGCTCAGCGCTCTTGTGCTTTGTGCTCCCCACAAGCCAGCTACAAAAGTGTAATCAGTTCGAAAAGTGGCGAGTCCCTTACTTAATTCTCGAGATGTCGACGAACATGCATGAACAGTGAAATGTCATGTGCACATGGCTTTGTTTTGTAGTTGTGGAGGCTCTGACCATCCAACGCTCTAGAGAAAAAATCATTCCCGGCCATGGACCTCCCTCCCCTCCCCTCCTTCCTTCTGGCAGTGGATGGAGGGAGACGAGTGGAGATTTTGCAACGTGATAATACAATATAGCGCTGGTCGGTTCGTCGGCGGTTACGCTGTCATCAGCCCACCCCCGGCCATTTCAGTTCCATTCCCAGCGTATTATCTGATGATTGGGACGAGCATTTTTTGAGGCAAGAGTTCCTCTTGACGGGGAGGACTTTTCTCTTTCTCTTTCTCTCTGCTCGTATACCACTTCCCTCCCCTCCCCTCCTCAGGGATCTGAGAATTCCCTAACCACATCGTTGTGTCACATGTCTTCTCCTCCCCTCGCGTACCTCTACCGCAGGTCAGGCCTCGAGCGTTTTCTACATGCTGGCTACCGTCATGGCGGATCGGGGATCGGGGATGATTAGAGAGCGAGCCCGTTTTTCCCCTGAATGCTGGTACGGACCGTACTTCATTCGCTGAATGCAAGGCCAGGCATGACCGTGCCTCTTCGGCCCAAGCCCAAAACCAAGCTACCAAACAAACGAACAAGGGGCACATTTTCCCCATGGTCTGTCTCGCTCGCCCCTCGCCTCTATACCGAAATTCAATACAGTCTGGACCCTCGGAATCCAAGCGGACCTCGTCTATTCCATTGACCACCGCTTCTCCTCCTCCTGCGTCTGCTCTGCGTGAGTTGGCACCTGCTGCTGCTGCTGCTGAGTCTGGACTTCCAGCATGGCCGTCGAATTTCCAACGCGACTGGTGCTGCCGCTGCCGCTGCGACGAAAGCTGCTCTTCAGACTCGAGCGCATCTCCGGTTCATGCCCCGGCCTTTGAAGATCTTTACCGTTTATCAAACCAACAACCAACTTTTTGGCTTCATCGCCCATGCTCCGAGACTCAACCCTAACGGATTTCCAACGGCAGCCCCGACGACGAGACGAGAATTGTGGAACGTCCTCGAGTGTGTGTGTGTGGGGGGATGACCTGGCAAGCCGGTCGGTAGAAAATGATATAATGCCCGCGCAGCCCAGCGGGGTAGGGGGATGTTCTTTCTCCGAGGGCACGACATGATTGTGCACGGTCACGAAAGCTTCCATGGCCTTGGCAAGGAGTTTGCTAAGACACCCGGATTAGCAAAGGCTCCCCTTAACTTGTATCTTGTTAAGCATTAATCGTCCAGGAATCTCCACAACACAGCTCAGCTCGTCCACATATCGCTCCTCTTCCATGCGCACCCAAGAGCACAGCTGGTTATGAGCGCAGGAAGACGAAGGAGGATGTTCGTCGTCACGAACTGGCACATTCATTATTGTAGCAGATGGGTGCGTGCGAGCGGAGGAATAATTCCAAGCCCGCAAACGAACACATGCAATGCATTCCAATTATAGAAGCCGTTGCCATCTCTCTTTCGCCCGTCACGAACTCGGCCCCTCGAGGTCATCAAATTGACACTCATTCTAGTCTGGTGCAGTCCAGCCCAGTCTCCGGTCCGGTCCAATCCAGTCCGATCTCCTTGACTTGACCAGACCGGACCACCACCAGTGCACCACCACCTACCATCGTCTGGGTTGTATACATTAAACATCATTTGAACTTTCATTCCACAATCATTTGCAGTCCCCCAACATCCATCCAAACCGGCAGCATAGAAGGAGGAGAATATTGCGAGCCTTGTTCATTGATTTGAAGTCTTCGAGCTCTCTCTCTCTCTCTCTCTCTCTCTTTCTCTTTCTCTCTGAGTCGCTCTATTCCGTTATTCCCTCCCCGCGAGCCTCTTCTTCTTCTGACCGAAACCCCGCCCAATCCCAGGCAGAGGACAGCAGACCGCAAAAGCGAGGCCAGATGCCATCACACCACTACCTAGCCCGCTACATGGACCCGATCCCAGCCCTCTATGTCTCGCCTTTGACCCCAGCAGGCAAGCAGAGAGAAACCGTATAGCGAATCATACCGTACCGTTGGATGTCAATCAATCCGTATGCTCGAGTAGCCCGGGCCAGCCCGGCGCACCCCACCCTACATCACAAGCGGCGCAAATGCAAATGCTGCTACAGCTACAGCCTTGCTGCTGCTGCTACAGCTACAGCTACAGCTTTGCTGCAGAATTTGCTGAGGCTCGTCCCGGATCTGACTGACGACCTGCGATCTGAGCCTCCTCGTCGTCTGTCAGCCCCGTACTACTGGATCTCTTGCGGCACTTTTTTCCCCAACTGCTGGTGGACAAGTCTGCTCACTTTTCTCGGCCCCCTTGCTTTCTTCCTTTGCTTTTTGTTCCAGATTCATGTTTCTTGTAAAAATAGGTCGATCGGGTGGGGATCTGTGTCCCTGCTGCTGCAACTGTACTGCTCGCAGTGACCGTTAGTTCTTTTCCTGGCGAGGCCCCCTCCCCACGCACTGGATTAACTATTCCATTAACAATCCATTTCTCCGCAGCGCAGTCGTTGCGTTCTCCGTTGCCTTACCGTTTTCACTTATTTCGTTTTCCTCCGTCGCAGCCTTGGACTATTGGACACCCACCGGGAATTGAACCGTCGCAAGCCCGCAATTTTCTGCCCCGATGCCATCGCTGCCGCTCGTTCCCAGTCGGCTTTCGAAGTATCTCAATATCGCCTTTTTCTCCTCCGGTAATTCGCCTCTCCCCTACCCTTAGTTCGGCCGCCTCACCGTGGATCGACCGTCCCGATGCGATCGTAGCCCCTGTCCGTCGCATCCAGGCGGTTCATAACGGGTGGGGTACGGGTAGGCTGCGGTGTCAAAGCATCAAACGTCTGATGTCTCATGATCACCTTGTCATGGAAATATTGTGTAGTTTTTTTCTTTCCGCCCTCCACTGTGAGGTACCCACTTGGTCCTTCCATCTAACGAACCTCTTAGATTCTGTAATTGGCCGGCCCCCCCACTTGATCCAGACTAAATACGAAAAACAGAGAACCAAAAATTAAATAATCAGACCTTTCACCGCTCTTTTTACATGACTCGGTGGGCCCTTTTGCGAGCAGCACCTGTAAGACAGGCAAAGGAGAGAAATACTAATATCCAAATTTTGGATACGCAATAGGACCCCGGCATCCAGATTACAAGCACCTTCTGATACTCCATTACATCTGACAACATATATTAGTCAAAATCTTTTAAGGCATATTTTGATGTGCTCTCAAGCGAGTTTCAAAACTTCCCTATTTCTTCAATTAATCCGCTACAATGATAATTCCCTTTTAGAGTTAATAAGAAACTAAATGATGCAAATTTTTATGTTTTCAATCATATTTCATACCGATGATTCATTTGAAACACAGAAAAAACCTCTCTAAATTAAAGTAGAATCATGACAAATAATTACATCCATATTCAAACTATACTGACGTTGAGGTTTAATAGTCAGGTAAGCTTGAGAAGATACATGAATAAACCAATTATAAGAAATATCCATTTGGTGATTTTAGAAAACTTAAATTTCTTAATCATTTCACTCTCTGTCCACTTTCCTGTACTCTATATACTTTCGTAAATTGGCGATATGACTGTAATCCAAGTACTATATACAGGCGAATTGATGAAGCAAATCGACGGTGCCCGTGTGCATTTCAAGCACATTTCCTATATCGGTTATGTAGTGATGTTAAACTACCATCACTACGTACCATAACTAAAGTATTAACAATTTATTCGTTCACACTCGTTGTTACAAAATTAACTATTCTTTCAAATGTTCTATGTACAACAATGTTAAAATAATTATGTTATTGTAAGATATAGTATGTTATTATAGTACAAGACCCGCAGTTGAGGCTTTCAGTTTCCATCTCTCATTGGTTTTAAGTTGAATCAATGTACACTGATGAAAGTATATCTGAATAGATCAATTTTGGATTCCAACTACATGTTTGAGTGTGCCATTCAAATCTGATTATGATTGCATTTTACTGTTATTTCAACTCGCATTTTGATTGATGTCAAAAATATCAAAACTGCCAAATTTTTCAATTTGAATTTGAACATTTTTTAGGGATCAAAAAATACTCTCAATACCTTTATAAGTTTATAAACCCCTAAAGAATTATAAAATTATAACATCAATTCTACGTATTGATTCCACCGAAATAGATGTGTACATTCAGTTCAATTCTGATAACATCTTAGTTACTTGTTTGAATTGCATTTACACTTTAAGTATAAGATTGTACTCCAACTGCCTTCTTGTAAATTCAGCTCAAATCAGAAATCAATTTCTTATTTAAAACATAAGTTTAACAGAATAAATCATATCTTATGTGGAGAATCTCAGATTTGTATGCACCTCCATATGTTGTAATACAAAGAAGTTTAACCTTTCATCACAAGCAATACTTATCTTCATTTCAAACATGAGATTGATCTATTTCAAACCAGACTTATTCAATTTTCTAAATTTTGTAAATTAAAACTTTTGATACATTCGTTTGAATTTTTTATAAAAGTTTGAATTTTAAATTTAGTTTCATATGGGAAAACTAAATTAAAAAGAAATACATGTTGGAATGTAGGATTATTTAAAAGCTTATCAATTAAATTTTATTTTTCTTTCTTCATTTTATTCAATAAATATTTATGAGAAAAATAATTAACACACGTTATATAATTCCAAACGTGTGTAAATATCATTTTTTTAAGTTTACTGAATATGTGGATTCAAAGAATTTAAGATATAAAACTTAAGCTTAATAAAGATACATTAAGGATGTTATTAATAAAATGTAAATACTGTAACAGTTATATATGATATTCATAATTTATTACGAATATAGATTAAAAAAATAATGAAATCAAGACTCAATACAAAAGTGACATAAATTCAAATAAGAAAGCAAAGAGTGCAAAATAACTTCAAAGAGTGAGAAAAATTTGAAATGGTTTAAGATTTGAAAAAATATTCAAAATTTTGAAAGAATAGTCAACCTAATAGGATTACTAATCAATTGAAAAAAAATATGTAGATACTATACAAGAGTATATGCAACTCTGAAACTAAAATTATAAATCAAACTGAAAATTTGCAAATGCAATTTATAATTTACTAGTGAAACTACGAGATAAATTATAAACTACAGTGAAAACAACGTTACAGTATTACAAACATTGAAACTACTAGATTCTCAAAAAATTTGACGTTTACAGATGAATAAAATAAACTATCTATTACCATAAGCTCACTCACTGCTTCTGATGTAATTTCGGGTGATGCTGGTATAATTGCTGGAATCTGTATCATTGAGGTTGATTTAATTGACTTGTGGCGGAGGAATGCTTTTCTCCTCATTACAATGAGTATCCTACAGGGTTACGTAAATCCAAGTGAAAAAGGTTTCTTAGTGTTGTCTTTATTAACTATGTTCTCCTCAGAACGCTAGGAAACATTTTCACTTGATATAGAGATATCGGCAAGCTTGGATGCATTGAGAAAGTTTTTCTCGAGGTAGTTCTGAACAGGACCCAGACAATATTAGCAGCGAGTTTCTTTAAAAAAAACTCACAAATTGCCTAGCATGTTAGAATCGATCAAGCATGTTCAAAAACATCATTTTATCAAGAATATGAATTGTATCTTAGGTTCATACGATTGTACCGCAATCGTATGAACCTAAGATTGCATTAATCCATGAATTCAAAAAAAGTAGTATATTTAAACATACTATTGTGGATCATTCAAAAGTCTTTGAATGAACCTTAGTAACAGATCCAGGTTTGAATACAGTCAGCTCTCGAACAAGACAGATGAGGTCATACTGAAGATTGAACAATATATATTTATATATTTAGTCATTTTTTGCGGTTGGGGTAATCAATACAGATGATGAATTTTTTACGTCGGTTACTTCAAGCATCGGAAAACTGTGTAAAGGGTGAGTGTTACAGCTAAACATGGAAGAGCGTGAAATGAAGTAAAGTGGATTGAGAATATGCGATGGTTTATTTTATGTAACTTTGTCTTTAAAGCCTGTCATTACTGTCAATTATACTATGACCGAAAAACCACTTTCTCGTAAGTAGTGTTCTACTATCGACAGAGAGAAAATATATGTCCCGGAAGGTAAGGAAATCGCTTTGAAAATAACTTTTGGCTACAATGATTGAAGTTAAAACAGTTTACAAAGTTACAAATCTGGGCAAATCCATAGAAGACAACATATCTTTTGTAAAGAAATGTATTGCGAATCTGTAAGATGGATAACGGTTTTGCTTTGCAGAATGGAGCATATTTAATATTGATGCGCTAACTTCACTTTCTGTTTTCATTCATAGGCTAGAAAAGGTTGTGGGTTTCAGGTGAACCTCCAACAAAATTGAAATGATGAAAATTTCAGAATTTGTTGTAATAATAATGAAATAATCCTGAAATTTCCAAAAGGTTTGCAAATATCCCAAAAGATTGTTAAGGGTTCTAAAACAAGTTCATAGCATCTATTCTCAGCCCCATTAAAGAATTTAAGCATTATCCTATCACGTAAGCTTTTACAAGTAGATTACGAGTGGAGCAAATATTTTTCTGATATCGGATTTTCCAACAAGCTTTAAAGTCATGAACAGTTTTTATTTGTCTTTTACTCTATGCGAGGGCTGAAAGTCCCAAAAACATTTGTCGCGTTCTTTGTGACTAGAAAGATTTTACGATAATCAAACAGTGGATTCAAAATAGAATTTACAATTTCGAACTCTAATAAGGTGATAATTTGAAATACCATGTTGTAGATTTCTCCTTGTGAACTTGCTTTATTCATTGAATTTCTACTTTTGTCAAGATTTTGCACAGATCAGAAATATCCTCCCAGATTTTCGAAGGTGCAGTAGATTAACACCCTGACATCTCACGTGATATCTACTTACGGTTCCTCACCTCCAATCCAGCCCATATACTTTAAACACCCTAATTCACTCTTTCCACGTTTCTCCAATACGACTTTTGCAGGTACAGAATAAGTGCCTTGGCGCTTTTATCATCGGTCCTTTTGATATGTTGTTGTTCTAGTGGAAAAGATGATTGTACTTCACTCATTGTGTTAAAAGATTGATTAAAGCTCCTTTCCCTTCAAAATATTGAGTTACACATCCACTTTCATAACAATTATTTACTGTAATCATTTTTCACAATCATTGATATTAAGCTTGGTACAATTGAAGAAAGAGAAATCTTGAACATGTAATCACGCCTTCACATGTATCATCATGTGACCTGTAATTTAAAAAGGCTATCATCGGGAAATTATTGAGGCTATTCTTTCTCTTCATCTCTGCGAAGCAGCAAAACATCTGACAACAGATGAACAAAGCAACCAGCCTAATTATCCGCAAGTGAAGTACTTGTACTGAACTTTGTATGACGGGCGTTTCCACACACACTCTCGGGTGGTTGATGTGGATAAAAAGTATCATGCAGTCAATGAATTGGGTTAGCTTTACATCATTGTCATGTTCACTGAGGAAATATTTGTGATTGTATCTACAAGACTATACTTCATCCAATTTGACTACCGTGATTTTCCTACAAGTCGAGCATGGTTACATGTCCAATGGCAATGTTCTTCCATCAAATTGCAATGATATTGACTAATGTCATGTCAAAATTCTTAAAATCTTGTTGCTCATCAACTTTCCAATCTGGTTTCACAATTTTATTATTGACATAACTTATATTTCAGGAAAAATGGATACGTAATTGAAACAAATGAGTATTTCTAGAAGAGCATATCGCCTATCAAATAAAATTTATCGTACATTTAGTTTTTGAAGTCCTACTAACCGTACATTTGTATAATCTCCAGATTCATAATCTGTAATCGTTAATTTGCAGTAGATCGTGTGCAGTTTTCGCGTTGAAACATTTATCGAAGATTTGTTGGTTAATGTCTCACACGTGTTTAATAACCAACAGTCTTATTTACTGAAAGGGAGCCAAATGGTGTTAAAAATTGTCACAAAGGGTAGCTTTTTCTTATATTTTTAGCAATCACTATAGATGTTAAATATCAATTTCTTCAGATCATCTTTTTGGACTACATTGAACAAGCACGAAACAGTGTCCAAGTACCTGCGAGGGTACAGACAAGTAAACGATTTAAGGTTAAATTGATTGGAACGAACAAGTACACCTGTGATTTAAACATGTGAGCAAGGAGAGGATGTTAGCACAGAAGGGCTCGTCAATACATACTGAGGTCTGCCTGTCGTGCTGCTAATTTGTTCCTTATCACTGTTCAAGCCTGCATCTAGCGAGTCGACATAGTGTTTGTAATCTGAGGGAGGCGTTCTCTGATCGCGTGTGTTGAACGTGGCAAAGTCATGTTCTGTGAGGTCGGAGTAAATTAGAGCCTACGAGAATAAGATTTCTAGATCCACACCAGACAGGTGTTTGTAGTTTAGATTGACTTAACCCTCTTTTAGAGTAAAAGGCCCGTCCACAGGTAAGTGCACGGTGACGTTAGATGTGTTCATTATACATAGAATAGATAGAAACCAAGTGCCTGGTCTGAATGTGTAATTTGGATTGGAGAGAAGTCAGCCGAAGGCAACATAGACAGATCTTGATTCTTTCTTGTCGTGAAGAGGGAAGGATCCAAGAAAGCCATCACGAACACATCTGCCCACATCGTCGATTCTCCACTTACTACTCTGTCCAATCCCACAACAAATGCGAACCATACTCCGCCCATTAAATCACACTTTCTAGCCCAAAACAAACACAATCAATGGCCAGGTTCGCGGGACTCGCAATTCCACTTCTATCAAAAGCACATGATAGACTGTTCGTGACAAAGAAGGCATCAGCTTAGTCGGTCTTACTATCCGCTGATCTCACCATTATTAAAGGTCAACGGGTAAAAAAAAATCCGTTTTGTAAATTTCCTTGAAAAACTTGACAAGTGAAAGACTTGGAAGCGAAAGCTTTTGTCGTCTCCCATGTATGCGTGGTTGGTATGAGCAGAACTCTCGGAACACAACTGAAAAAAATTCGTTCATCGATCACGAACGATATAACGCAAAGCTCGAAAGAGATAACACTAAACCAAAATACTGTCCCAATTCAACAATTCCCGTGGTAAACTCATCCACCCAGCTCAAACTGCTAGAAGACTCATCACAGCTTGATACCCGATTGAAAGCTGAGTGTCAGTTGAAACAGAAACTTTGAGGCTACGATGGTATTCTATTTCAGGACTGCTTCAAGGTTTCTGGACTGTTTTACACATGCTCAAGCTTTTCCAGTAGATGAAACAGGCTTGCTAGATTTACCTCTCAGCATTGTTGTCTTCCATCAGGTACTTATGGTTAGGCTAATAAATCCTTCCAGGGAGAAGCACAAAAGGGTCGTCATCAACAAAGGCATATTTGGCTAAGACGAGAAAATTCTCTGCAATCGTGAATGATACAAAAATTCCGAGTAAGAAAGAACAACCCTGCGACGACAAACATGCTTGATACTCTCCCTAACGACAAATCATATCAAACTCGTTAAAAGGTGATAGCCGAGACAGCCCACAACTAGCCTGAGGCCTTGGGTAGTTCCGAGACCATTAGATAATAAATGTACAGAAAGGGTTCTCGAAATATCCATCCGTTGGTATATTAAGAAGACCCCAAATTGTCAATGACAGCCTTCGTGTAATCTGTTGTTCCAGCTTTGCCGCCCAAGTCACCTGTCAAATACTTTCCTTCCGCAATGGTTTGTAGAATGGCTTTGTGAATCAAATCTGCTTTATCATTCATATTTAGATGCTGGAGCATCATGACGGAGCTCAGAAGAAGAGCAGTAGGATTCGCCATATTCTGAAATCCATGCCAAACGCGTCGACTTAAGACCAATAATCATTGCATTAAACCAAGATGAGAGAAGTGAAACACAGGGAAACAATAAACTAAAACCCTATAAAAACAAAAGCGAAACGATACTAACTTTCATTTGACGATTATGTTTGCACATAAAGAACTGCATGCAACAGGTAATTCTATAGAACGAACCTTTCCCGCAATGTCAGGTGCTGTACCATGTACCGCCTCCATCAAAGCAAGGCCATTGTCTCCGATATTGCCACTGCCATGAACCATGCAGAATCTCAGATGCTCTGACTTTGTGAGATTATGCTTGTTATGAACTTACGGAAAGCGTAAACAAACCCTTATCAACAAACTACTGATGTGTTTAGTAGATAAACTCAAATTGCTACAAGATCACTTCAAAGCTAATCCGGGTAGTCGCAAAGTACTCGAGAACGAAAACACGAATAACGAGTATGAGGGCTTGAATCCGAATCTTGTGACAACTAGAGCTTATGCCATCCACACTCTTTCACATTCAAATTACCTGGGAGTCAAGCCGAGGCCTCCAATCAAACCAGCACACAAATCGCTGATAATATCACCATATAAATTGGGCATGCAAAGAACATCAAACAATGATGGGTTCTTCACCAGCTGCATAACATCGATCAACCCTAGTTAGAAAAGTAAAAGAGCCCAAGCATCGAGTTCGAGTAGTCCCTGAGATTCTTACTTTTTTCACTTCACAAATAGGCTTGACATTTTCTATGGCGTTAACCAAAAGGTTGTTGTCATACTTGACCGGCTTAGCTCAGAATGATCTCTTGGTTCGCTCGATACAACAAAAATAGCTCATCTAGCAAATGTGGAGAAGAAATCCTCGTCAATCAAAGAAATAGTTGACCTTGCATATAATGCTCTTCCCCGTGGATAACCACCCTCTGATCTATGTGAATGCTTCGAGTGATGAGACCTTCAACTAGTTCGCCCGACCATTTATACACAAAAAGTGATCGATTATTTGACCACCTCAGATTCAAAGTAATACCCACGACATGGAGATATTTGACATTGAGGTCATTGACCAGAAGTCGAGTCATATGGTAGTTCAGCGTTGAACCAGTATAGGAAATCGAACTTAACAGAGAGCAAAGGTGAAACTAACTTATGCGGTAAATGCTTTGAAAGGTGACAGGGCTTTAAAAGGTAACTCAATATGTACAGAAAGATGAAGAAGAAAAAATTGGAGAAAAGAGAGTACATGATAGGCCTGGGATCAGAATATGTCTTGTAGCAATCCAAAACTGTTATTTTTTTAAAATTGCTTAAGTAGAGAAAGACGTGCATGTGAGAAACAAAATGGCATCTATCCGTTCAGAACGCAGTATCAGCAGCATAAGAATACTCAACAGTTATAAGCTTACCTAGACCAAAGGAAGTACTCAACTCGCAAGGATAATACAGATGCCTACTCAAGAAGAAGACGATCAAAAATAAGCTACACAAATACGCAACATTAACCATCCATGTCTCTCGCTCGAGGAATGAGCAAGAGATGTGGATGTAGATAAGTTTCCATGTTTGACTTGAGAAAACGAAAGCTCCGTAGAAGGAGCTTCCGTTAAGAAAAGAAGTAATACTAAACTAAATGAAGAGACGGAGGACCAATAAAGACATCCCAAGTGATTCAAAACAATCTCACAGTCAACATCATGAAGAGATCTATTACTATCCATACGAACAAGCCGGAACGATGATGTATACACGAGACAAATTCGACCGAGATGCAGCACTGAAAACTGGGCGACTAGAGAGACCAGTATTAGTAATACTTTGATTGCCAACTGCTTGCACAAAATCCTAGCACATGCCTTCATCAGCATATATAAAACATAATGGTGTTATCGGCACCTCACTGATCGTGAGACTTCATACATTGAGATTATAACTAGCGAAATGATGAAAGTCTTCTAGCCTTACATAGACAAAAAGATCACACCAAATTATACAGACATATGCTATGAATGGGTAATTCACTGCGTAAACTTCCACGAATTAGAACTGAACGCGGACGACTAACTAATTGAGCTAATGAGAAGACGGACATACCATCATGCAGCAATTGTCAATAATAACTTCCTCGTACAAGATATCGGGGTACTTCTCTGCTACTTCCCGACAGCACTGCACATACCAGGGCCATGCTCAAAAGTTAAGCACAAACACAGACGTATAGGTTGACTTCGCACGACGTAAAAAAGCTATGACATGCAAAGAAACGGAAGTATCAGCACCTGTAAGAAAAGCCCATCCGTCTTCTTCATGATATTAGCTTTGTGAATAGCAGATACACGCTTTCTTCCGTGAGTTTGAGCATAGTGAAAGGCATACTCCGCAACTCGCAAACTGGCTTGCCTTGTAATGATCTTCAAACTCTCCACTACACCCTTCACGACCTGATGACGTTTTACCACATTTCAAAGGAGTCAATAAATATAATATAAAAACCTATGAAAACACAAGTGTTTTCTTCACAAATATTTAGGCGTAAGAAAGATTCGGTTCCATTCCGTAACCAGACCTTTGTAAATTTGCACAGACCAATCTAAGAACAAGCAATTTCTAGGCACAACACACACGACAAGAAAATGCAAGAAGACGACCGACTTGATTACTGCTAATACGCAACCGGTTCTAAGGATGGCAATTGTGGTGTTCATTTTCCAGGGTTGAAGGTACACTACAAACTCAAAATCACGGCATGCAAGCTAAGTTTTGAGAATCAACAAGCAGTCAAGAAGGCTGATGAACCTTTCCAAGGAAGTTCCTATCTAATATAAGAAGATTGAAGTGCCTCTGATGAACAAGAGCCCATATACCTGATGCTCCAACCCACTATACTCGCCCTCAGTATTTTCTCGGATGGTTACCAAGTCCACATTATCGTACCGTGTTTTGTACCCGGGAATACTAAGGCATGGTCTCACATTGGCATACAAGCCCAACTCTTTGCGTAAAGTCAGATTGAGAGACTTGTGACCCTTGCCAATTGGAGTAGCCATTGGTCCTTTCAACCCTATCCCATTCCGCCGGACAGATTCCATGCTTTCCCAGGTCAGAAAGCTACCGGTTCGTGGATCCACCGTCTTTCCAACAAAGTGCTCCTCCCACTCGATAGGCACTTGAGCAGCTTTGAAGATCTGCAAGCAGGAAAAATTTAAAGGTTAGGCAATTCTCCATCCTAAGAAACAAACTCGCGAATGACCCAAGAGTTGAATGCGGACCTCGCTATATCTTGCAAAAGCCTGAGGCAAAATCAAGCGCTTCTCACTCGAACAAAAAGGAAAGAAAATTCTGATCCACTCCTAAGTGATTGCAGAAATTGTATACCAACCTCTTTGACGGAGACGGCTATTTCAGGTCCAATACCATCACCAGGAAACAAGGTCGCAGTGACGGTCGTCTCGCCGGAGTAAGGCCTTCGCTGCATGAATTTGCCAGAAGTAGCGGTAGACTTGTCATTCGGCATTGTTGAGCTGGCAGACAGCGGCTCCAAAATTGACTGCCTGGCAAGGCCTCTGGACCCATAGGCCATCATCCGGTCCACTAACCCCGAACATCTTCTCGCTGTTTGGGCCGCCATCTACCCGCACCTGCGCAACTACGAGTCCAATTCGTCCAATTCACCACAGATGGCCTTCCTGCATCTGCACTCCAATTGCTCGCGCTGCTGCTTCCCGCATCCGATCGATCAGTCTCCAATCGCAATCCAGTCTCGCCAGACAGCCAGCCCCGCGGACGGATCGCCCCACTCTGAAACCGACCGATCGATCGGCCGCGCGAACGCCCTCGCGCCCCCGAAATTAATGACAGTCGTCCTCGTCGATCCACCCTCTCCTCTCCTCTCCTCGTCTCGGTTCCCTTCCTCTTCGTCTTCCTCTTTTCTTCCGCTCGGCCCCTTCGCTCCGTCTTCTTCTTCTACTTGTCCTCGTCGTTGTCTTGTCCGGCTCGATCGAAGTGCTCCTTGTGAATCCGGGGGGGAGGGGCCGGACTGGAGGAGGAGGAGGAGACGGGAGGGAAGGGGGCGAGCGAGGACGATGGAAGAGGACGGGAGGGGAGGGGAGAGGAGGGGTAGGGGAGGTTCATGGTCATGGCCCCCCCCCCACCCTCCCGCCACTTCCCGCTGCCCTCCTCTAGAGTCGCTCCTGTTCAGTAGTCTGTGCAGTCCTGCAGCTCTCCCGGTCTCTCAGGGCCAGGGAGGGGTCCAATTCGCTCCAACCCTAATCAAAACAACAACCCTCTCCACTTGTCTTCGCGTCTCCATCCATTCTCGCTCTCGACTCCTTCGCTCTTCTGGAGTTGGTGGAAGTCGGTAGACCCTCCGGTTCCGTCCTTTTGCTTCCCGATCTCTTGCCCCTTTTTGGCCCTTAACTGCTCCATTTCATCGCCATCATCAACAACACTTATCTATCTTCCTCCTCCTTTGTTTTGTACCGTCACCATCGATCTCTTCCCGTCGCTATGACTTCATTCAAATTTTGTTTCTATATTGTGTTCTCCTTGATGAAAATTCATGAGAATTGGTTTTAATGAGGTTTTGATTTTATTATCTTCCGTCTTTTTGACTCATTTGGTCGGGATCAAATTCTCGATTGATTAGGAAGCAAGACTGACCAGAACAAGGAGGGACAGCGACAGCACCAGGTCACCATTCCTCGGTAAGCAGATGCTGAGGAATCCAAGGGGGCCGGTTCACAGTTCCGTAAGAGCATGAGCAATTTGTCCTTGAGCTCCTGACCGTAGAAGAAGATTGGGACCTCCGAGCATCAATCAACAGCCAACAGAGAGCAAGAGACTCACTAAATCGACGCCTTGTAATCAGAAGTGTATGATGTTCTCGTCATTTGCTTTTTTTCCCCCTTTTTATTTTATTCCTTGCCTCACTCGAAATCTACATGGTTCCCCTGAAGCATTTTTATCGCGGTGGCTCAGTTCAACTCTCTCTCTCCGGGGCTAGCTTCATCTTGATCGTTCGAGACCGGGAAAGTCCACCCGGCAGTAGGATGATAAGGTCTGACCTTTTTCTCCAGGACATTTCGGTCGTGCGTCATCATTCGAGAGTTAGTGGGCATCTGAAGTACTTGCCCGCAATGTGAAAATCAGATGTACTCAGGAAATAGTGCATTTGATCATCCACCTTCACTGCGATCCGACATCTAAGAAGCCGGGAACTATAAACATACAATGCAAAATCTGGAATATTAATACGGAATGATGGAGGATTGTGATAAAATTATAGCAATGATTAGGCCACTAGAGACCTAATCAGATATCGGTAACTGAGCTCTTTGAATGAGATAACACGAAAAATTACACCACACCGAGACAATATAATCACTCGTGAGTCTGATACTTGTTTGAGGGATTTGACTTTTTTACCGAAAAACGAACCATTGGATCTTTAGCTATCAAAATCCCGAGCAGCATAACACGTCCATATCATATGATCTTAATTCTGTGAGGTCAAAGTTAGGAAAGGTGTCGAGGTCAGGCAAGTGATTTACGAATGTTGCTGCTCTCGAGGCATGAACTATTTGCTGCATGTACGGACGGGAGTTGAGTGACAGAGTTGAAAGCAACGCGATCTAATCAGGACAGGGTTCTAAGAAAAGAAGCTGGGAGATCAGACTTGTACATTCACTACCATAGAATGATAATGAGTACTGGGGGTTTCGTAACCGTCCCGGAGCAAACTTCAGCACATACCGCATTTAAAAAATAAGGAAATTTCGGACCACAAAAATCTAGTTTACCAAGATATCAAACCTTAACTCTCTAGCCTTTATGTGAAAAGGGTTCAAGAGCATAGTATGAATTCAAATTTTGAATAAATAATGAACCACACAGGGAGTAATTCTATTATTTTTATCTCCCTCTATTGTACGCCATGCATGTACCAAAAATCAATTGTACAATAAGGCTTTTCCAAATAGAGGAATAAAAGTAACGGGAATTGTGCTAATTCGTGTGAAGATTACCTCCGATTCCTTTTAATTCATTACAAAATATATGTGGAAAAGAGAGAGAAACATTTTAGTGTACTGGTAATTTGGACGTACAATACATGAAACACCTTTTATGTATACTATAGATGTCATTTAGGATCTCTAATCTGGAACGACATAAACTTCTAAGTTTTGTTTTGAAACCCTTAATATGGCCAATATCATAAATCTTGAAACCACCCGAGAACATTTTCTGGTTCCAACAATTAGTATTAGTATCTGACGAGAAGTAAAGTTAGTATACTAGTCGAAACATATCTACTGATTGACTAAAACCAGTTACAAAGTTCAGAATCTGTTATAAAGTTGTAATACACTTTTATCTCGTGAAAATGAAATATAGAAAGTATGATCCATTTCTTTCGATCTTGATATAATATCAATCTATCTTTATAAATCTTTTATTCTTAAATTAAATTCTGAAAAAAATTGATATTTATTCAAGTGTGTTGATAGTAAGTGAAAGATTATTTTATTCAACTCATATTGTGATAAAAAATTTCTAACTCTGCACTTTCTCAATTATTTATAAATTATTCAGCTTTTATCTGAAAACATATTACCAAAATCAAAAATTCAAAAAACCCAAAAATCTGGTTGCATGCTTATAATTTACTATCCTGTCTTTCATTGTCGAGTTAATGAGCTCAATAGGAAAAATTTAAAATATTGATTATTTGGATAATAAAAGATAGAAAAAACTTCCATTCTGTTATTTTACATGATAAAGAATCAAATGTAAATTAGATTTTGTAATTTTTTAAACTATTTTTTACTAAAATATGAAGAAGGTTAAACCAAGAATCATCCGTTGAGGTTAATATTTAACTGGAGTTAACCTCAACAATCTTCACCTTAACTCATGTTAAGAAAACGATAACCTTTATAATCTACATTTTTATTTTGCGAGAAGTTTTAAATAGAAACCTAACACAAGGTACATCTTGTACCTTGTGTTACACAATGGTTAACTAGAACTAAGAAGTAGCTATGACACGATAGAGTAATAAAATAAAATATTGATTAAAATACTTGCTATCATAGAGGAAAAAAATTTGATACCATATATAATTACTCGACAAAAAGTTTTAAAAAGAAGCCTAACACAAAGTTACTATTTACACAAGAGTTAACTAGAATAAACTATAATCATCACATGATAGAGTAATCATATAAAGAGATATTATTCTAAAAATACTATGCTAGCAAACCTACCTAAAAATTGACGATAAACTATCGTCAATTTTTACTAGTTCAAAGTATGTGATATCATTGTGTTTCATTCAATGTATATCACTTGGTTTTCAGCCAAATGTATGTGATAGCTATTTCGGCTATCACAATGAATATTGATCACGCTTTGTGTCAATTTTCATCTCCATGATAAATCCATTGGCTACATTAAAAAAATATGTGCTCCATTTTAGAACTACACCAATCTAGCTTCTCATCTTGATCATTAATCACATAATGATCAAACTCCTCCACAAATCATGCACGTAAGCAGAGATTTTTTTCTTATCAGCTCCATGACATAGACTTCTACGGATGTCACACTTTGGAACTCCATCAATATCAGTGTTACTTTTTGATACTCAATCACATAATAATGATCAAACTCCCTCACAATCATATTTGTGAGCGGAAAGTTTTACTTATCAAGAAGAACACCTTGAGAACTCTACTCTCTTTCAATGATTTGGATTCATTGAAAGACACATTCGTACTAACAAGATGCTTACAAGCTACTAAATCCATAGCATGTAAGCATGATTTTCATAAAGCACGTAATATTGTCGTCCATCAAAGAGTATGATGTTATACCTAGATCCTCCAACCTGTTGCTTTTTCATCTTTGCCCGTCAAAGCTAGATACAAGAACAGCTTCCACAGCCATGTACTTCTTCTGGATCACCTTTAATCTCCTAAAACGTGGCCAAATGCACTAATCGTGTCGCGAACTTTCCAACGATATCCAATTTGAGATTCGAGCACACCAGACCGCCCGTCACAAGAGCACCGTGTTGGGTGTCACGTGTCGGGAGGTGTCAAACTTGGAAAATTGAACTCAAAGCTCTACTGAAAACTTTACTTGCAGTTTTCAAAAAAAACAACTGCACTAACAATTGTCTGAAAACGTTACTAGTTGAGCTACTCTCAAACTTGAAACAAACCAAGTCGAGTAAAAACTATCAGCTCTCTTGGAGAAAAACCTATTAGTTGTTCGATTGCATAAAAAACCTACGTCAACAAAAAAAACCTGTCAGCTAAGAAAACTCACGCTTTGATACCAAGAATAATAATTATACCAAAAATTATCAATGACGAAACATGATGAAAAACAAAGCCATACACACAAGGTAGTAAGTAGAGTGGTTCATTCCTTTGAAGTAACTAAGTCCACAACAAAACACTTGCGATGTTTTACTCCAGATCTATGAAACAATATCTTGTTGTATAGGGCATAAGCTTGGATATTCAACCCTCAACACCATATACCCTCCTTGTTATATCTAGCTAGTACATGAGTTTACTTTTTAATCAAAGTTAACCTCAACAAAATATAGATTATCAAATAAAAAATTTAAAATAAAATATGATATTTACTTGTATTGGTTCTAATTTGTTTGCAAATGTAGTATATTCAAATCCTTGTGTCTCCACTTCATTGATCATGGTACAAAAATTTATTATTTGATTGATTGATTGATCATTTTGATGCAGATTAAAATTTATCAAGAAGTGAAAATTTATCATAAGTGACCTATTGAAGAAACCAAATTTTTGACAAGAAGCCAAAGCTCATAGTTTGCTATGTTATGAAATGAAATAAATATAATATAAATTTATATCTTATTGCAACTAAGTTGTCCAAGTTATATAGTTCAAACCTTCTATGAACAAACAGGTATCTAAAAGAATCTATTACCTGATACAAAACTTTTTACTATAATTTAAACGAGCAAAACTGTTCGTAAAACAAACGAAACATATGAACTACAATTAGCTGCATAACTAAAGGACTGAAATTTATATTACTTGTAGATAGCACACTCACGAAAGTATGTAGTTAGTTTTAAAGCTTAACTATATATGCATAACGCTATATTACTAGTTCACTTGACAACACTTCGAAGAATGTACACGTTCAAAGATGTGTCACATGTGTTCACAGAGTCTGCAACAATACATCAATTCACTCATCCTAGCGATCTCTATAAAGACTCTTGCTTTACAGCACACAGTTCCCGATAAATAGCTACACTTTCTATTTTGAAATGTTCGACCTCACATACTTTATATATAGGATTCACTATTATTCGTTATTTAAAATGAAGATCCAAGTCAAATGTAACCTCATGGTCTATTTACTACAGTAGTAATAATTTACCATGGAGAATTGTTATTATGAAGATTTTTAGTACTATGAAGATTGGTCGCAAGTGGTTTATCATGAGCCGTCATTTAAAACGTTTAATGCATGTGTTAAAAGATAAATTGACATCGTGAGAAATCTGCTAAAAAACTAATGTATAGAAAATTTCCACCAAAGCGAGGACCATCAACTGGCTGTACCAATCTCAGTTAACTTCAGAAGTATCTTCCGCTAGAACTAAATCGCATTTGCTTGAAAAGTTTGTGAAGGTGACAGTCTAGCTAACGAAAATTCAGGGTGCTTCACTTTGTGATGATATACTGTGATTGTTGTGCGTTCCAGTCTATCACATCTTCTGGTTGTCAACCGTTATTTAAAGTTGTGTTTTACGGAAATGCAGCAAGTATTAGATTTATTTCGTACAAAGAGGTTCATTCCGAAAAGTTTAGGGTAGGTAGGGAGGAGCTTTCAGAAGGAAAATTCGTTAACATGAACTTTCTGGAATTTACCTTCAGGACGTCCTTGTTGATACACAAGCATTTCTTTCTCGATGTAAGCTTTTTGAAGGACACACGTTTATAGCTAGGAGAAAATTTGAAAGCTTGCTGTAGATTACAAGTATATCAATCGTTCACTATTTTTTCATATATTTCATATTTACGGTTTTATTTTATTTTTCAGTGTGACTATCAAAGATTAGTTTTCTTTACTTATTGAACAGTTTTTCGATTGCACATTTACCTGTCGACAAGTACTATCCACTGCTGATTTTACAGAGCTTTGACTTGGAAGTTATTGTCGTAGATATTTTTCATTTTACCACCTTTCTATAGTCGGTGTTTCTACCTATTTCATTTCGTGACAATTTTTTCATTCCAAAATAGTCTAACTACCATGTTCATCGGCATTTGGTACAGAGATTTATAATATTATTGTTTTTTCCAAAGACGTTATGTTTTCTACTATGCAAAATTATCAACCCATTCCGCAACTGCCATACCATCCATAACATACTCGACATAGTTACTCACTTTGAATCTAATGTTCAAAACATCCGTGTTATATTTGAATGACCACAACTGTATTCCTCACTTCTCTCTGATATGGCTCGTGACTGCAAAATGAACCAATAACAAATCCTGCCAATATAGTCTGATACGGATCAGAAGATAACTGTTTATCTCCATTCGGTCAAAATATCGTGGTCAAAACATTATGCTTAATTGCGAACCTTCGAAATACATTCTAAGAAAACCTACTCTACGACTACGTAAGCTAATTTATTGACGCCCGTGGCTACGTTTCTCCAATTTGACGTTCTATGTACTTAAAAACACCGTCTACATTCCAGGAAATTTCAGAAACCGAGGTGCTATCTAAACAAACCGGCAATTCATTGGTTGTACAAGGATCAATCGGGGTAATCTCGTGTTCACCCATTCAATTCAAGGGGCTAAGTAGTCCCAACTTTAATCTACTCCGACGATGGTTGATGTGTGTTGGTTCGTATGCCTACATGACTTAATCAACTTCCTCCATTCTGCTTCCCTCGGCGTCGGCATCAACCTCCAAGGCAGGCATGTCAGCGTCTCCGTCAGCTACGACCTCGTCGTCGATACTGAGTCCCAACTTCAACATTCTGTGAATGCGCGAACCGAAGGTGTTGGGGTCGTCCAAGCTAAATCCTGAGGTAAGCAGGGCAGTCTCGAACAGCAACAGGACGAGATCCTTGACAGACTTGTCGCTCTTGTCTTGGTCGGCTCTCTTCCTCAACTCGTCCATGATAGGATTGTCGGGGTTCACCTCCATCGTCTTCTTGCTGGACATATAGCTGGACATGCTGCTATCTCTCAACGCTTGTGCCTTCATGATACGCTCCATGTTCGCGGTCCAGCCGTACTCACCGGTGACCAGACAGCAAGGAGAGTCCACAATGCGGTCAGATACAACGACCTTCTCAACCTTGTCTCCAAGAATCTCCTTCATCACCTTGCACAAACCTTCGAACGAAGCCTTCTTCGCCTCCTTGGCGGCCTTCTCCTCCTCGGACTCATCCAGCTTCAGTCCCTCCTTTGTAGCAGACACCAGCTTGTGACCATCGTATTCCTTGAGTTGGCCAACAGCATACTCGTCGATAGCGTCAACCATGAACAGAACCTCATAACCCTTCTTCTTTAGCTTCTCCAGAAAAGGAGAGTTCTCGACGGCTTTCTTGCTTTCTCCTGTGATGTAGTAAATATCCTGTTGACCCTCCTTCATGCGGGTCACGTAATCCTTCAGACTGGTAAGTTCGTTGCCGCTCTTGGTTGAATAGTATCTCAACAACTCAGCAAGCTTGCTCCTGTTCTGGCTATCCTCGTGGATTCCAAGCTTCAAGTTCTTAGAGAAAGTCTCGTAGAACTTGTCGTAATCTTCCTTGTTCTCGGCGATTTCCGTGAACATCTCGATACACTTCTTCACAAGATTCTTTCTGATGACCTTCAGAATCTTGTTCTGCTGGAGCGTTTCACGAGAAATGTTCAGGGGCAAATCCTCAGAGTCAACAACACCCTTCACGAATCCCAAGTACTCGGGGATGAGCTCCTCACAGTTGTCCATGATGAAAACACGTCTCACATACAATTTGATGTTGTTGAGCTTCTTTCTAGTGTCGAATAGATCGAAAGGAGCTCTCTTGGGGACAAAGATGACAGCCTTGAATTCCAGCTGACCTTCCACCGAGAAGTGCTTCACTGCCAAATGTTCCTCCCAGTCGTTGGTCAAACTCTTGTAGAACGCGGCGTATTCATCCTTCGTGATCTCTTCGGGCTTCCTCATCCAGATAGGCTTCTGCTTGTTAACAAGACTCCATTCGTGTGAAACTTCTTTCACTTTCTTCTTCTTCTTCTCTTTCTCTTTCTCCTCGTCTATTTCTTCAATCTTGCCTTCCTCATCGTTCTTGTCTTCTTCCTCGTCATCAGATACTTCCTTCTCCGAAGTCTTCTCGATCCACAGCGAGATAGGGTAGCTGATGAACTCAGAGTGCTTCTTCACAAGTTCCTTCAACCTTTTCTCCTCAAGATACTCGAGCTGTCAAACGAGCACGGGAGAATATTTAGATTACTGCAGACTGTCGAGTACATAATTTCAAGAAAAGTCTAGTAACGAAAGCATACTGAATGGGACAGCTAAGCTACTGCCCTAACTACGTTCTTGAAATCAAGAATCTCATAGAACTCACCTGATCTTCCTTCAAGTGCAGGACAATTTTAGTTCCTCGCCCTAGAGCTTCCCCCGAGGTGTCCTTCGTTACTGTGAACGATCCTCCGGCCTGTGACTCCCACACGTATTGTTCATCGTCATTGTGCTTAGACGTGACAACTACCCTCTCAGCGACGAGATATGCACTGTAAAATCCAACACCGAACTGCCCGATCATGCTGACATCGGCGCCCGCGGCAAGTGCTTCCATAAACTCTTTGGTGCCGGATCGGGCGATGGTTCCGAGGTTGTTCACCAAACCTGTAGAGGAATAACCGCGTTAGAAGGCGTGAGACGAAATATCAAATAATGTATTCGAAAATGATATTTAAAATACAAATCAGCAGGTGGCCAGGAGATGAAACACAGTTCGGGTGAGCCTACCTGCTTTGGTCATTCCGCATCCGCTGTCGATAATCGTGAGAGTATTGGAGGACTTATCGGGAATGATGTGAATAAAAAGCTCCGGTTGGGAATCCAACTTGCTCTTGTCAGTGAGCCCCTCAAAACGAATTTTGTCCAAGGCCTACACGGATGACAGAGAAGGCGCGCCCATGAATTTCGTACTCCATGGAAAAGAATCCACAGGAAAACACGACTGACGCTTACGGGCGACAGAGAGCGCGAGAGCACAGACGCTCGACAAAACATACTTCTTGGCGTCCGTCAGCGGAAACTCCTAGAATACCCCTAAGAGGAAAACTCAAAAACAAATTCGAAGACTAGAACGAGATCGGAGCAAAGGCGGGCATCTTACATCGGAGGCATTGCTGATCAGTTCTCGGAGAAAGATCTCCTTGTTGCTGTAAAACGTGTTGATAATCAAGCTGAGCAGCTGATTGATCTCGGCCTGGAAAGCGAACGTTTCCACATCTCCTTCCATCGGAACGTCTGCCATAGTCGAGCCGCTCTTCGATGCCGCGAGTCGAGTGCAGGAAGAAGCGTCGGTGGAAGATGAAGGGAGGAGGGGTGCAATCGGAGGAACGAGCGCGTGAATGTGAGCGACGGCGAGAAGAAACTGCTATATCTGCGAATGTCGAACGAGATTGTTACTCACAAGGCAGAGCACAGCCGAGGGCGGAACGAGGGCTTGTATATCGATGGAGCGCTAGGGATGCGCAGATCCGACGGCTTCCAGACAATGGCCGCGCTTTCTAGAATCTGCCCATGCCGACCGAGCCGATGGTCATCGGCCCTGCATCCCATGCGTGACTCTCGCATGAGCTCTACGACGATCCTCCGCTAATACGACAAAAGCACTTTCTGGAGAGTGGCCTTCTTCCGGGGCGACGGTCATGATGATCGACCATGCCATGACGACGCCGGAAGGGAAGGGAAGGGAAGGCCGATGGTTCCAGAAGCCGGCGAGCGTCCTACTGTATTAGGGTTTTATCCGAAGGATCTGGAGTAGTCGCACCTTCGGGTTCGTCGCGGCCGCATCAGCTCTTGCGAAGTGTCTAGAATGCACTGTCCTGTCTCGAATTGGCGGTTGGAAAACAAACTAGAGAACAGTAGCGCTAACCAAGTTCGTTATATTAATCATTGCCGCCGTGGTGATTTTGGACCAGCCGCGACCGAGCAAATATTTTTCTGCTTGCTTCATGTGGCCCTCGAGAACGAACGCGCTCGTAGAAGATGCTCCCGACCATGTTCATCCCTTTCACGACCTCGTGCCATTAAGAGACCTTAATATAACAATAACTCATTGTTTGCAATTTTAAAATGATTAAAATTCATAAGTTGGTGAAAAACCTAAACAATACCGATTGGTTGCAGGCTCCCGCCCTCGTCAAACCATGATTGCATTTATTTCTTCGTTATATTATGGACCGGGGGTCTCGCTGTCTTCAAATGACCTTTCTATTGTCATGATATTACATTTCGCAGGGAACACCCATCTTTATCTTCATTATTCAATTCAAGTTGTGATTTGAACCCAAATATGAGGAATGAATCAAAATTCTTTTTTTTGAGTTTTTGATTTTTGTGTTAATATTTCAAAGTGTTCAAATTTTTCACAAAGAGAAATCCCCACTTTTCCTTATTTCTGGATGTGCTCACGCATTTCAATTCCTGGATAAATTCTTTGGTTATACACAAATACTCCAACAAATCGGTAGATTGATAACTTTCACCATATTGCAAAATTTATGCTTGTTGCAAACTGTCATGAATCTTGTAGCTTTTAAGAATTATGACATACATTTAAAGGGATATATGTGTAGCTCATTCAACATTAATATTTTGATATTTGTAACTTTAAATAAGATAAAGATAATTTGTATCATGTGCAGGGAAATAAATACAGTATGTGAAGGGAAATAAGTATAATATCATGATAATTAATTATATAATGCTCGGTCAGAAAGTTTGTGTTCGGGTTATTTACTTGTTGGAACCTCGCATTGAAATTGGATCAATAAATGCTTAGATTACTCTCATTTGCTTCTTCTTTTTTGTTATTGCTGCTTAGTTCACTCTAGTTTGAATTTGGTATTGATAAACAAACTTAGAAACCCTTGTTGGTAGATTAATCAATAAATATTGACAATACTTACGAGAATCCATTCCACGGTAACGTTCATTCTTTGTCATTATTATAAAAGTGATGGAGACATATAAACAAGCAATAGATCATACCATAAATGTTACTTATCTTTTATGATAATTATCATAGGGAATGATGACTAAAGAATGTAAATTATATATTTATAAACAAACATCAATTAAGTTCATGGTTTAAAATTATACTTAAAGTGACTAATTAAAATGAGCAAACATACTTTAAAGATATCATAAATGAATAAAGGTGGCCTGTTTTTTTATATTGATTCAAAAATATGTCCTTAAAAAAGTGATTTCAGAAATGCTTATTCAATTTACTATCTAAAACTTGACTTCATGAAATCATAAACAATGATTTCATAAAAAATTTAGAAAAAATATTACAATATCAAATATTTGTTGTTCTTTAGCATAAGCATGCTCATTCTAATCATTGTACCAATGAAACATATATTCTCATGCATGATTGTTTTAATCAATATGCTTATGTGATTCTATTAACAAAAATATTCATGCAAAAATATGAAAAAAAAATTAACGAAATATTATTAAGACTATCAACTATGACAATGAAATAAGTGATTAAATATGAAAAACCAAAGACATTTTTTGCATAATTCTTGCATAATTCTCAACATGTTGTAATGTGTGATTACAACATGTTTGATTGAAAAGTAAAAAGCTAAAATCAGTAATCAAGACAACATGCAAAGAGTTTATATGTGATATGTTCTTCTGAATATGTTGATCAATAAATAATGAATATGGAAAATACTTCATAAATTAATAAATTTCAAAATTTTCTGCTTTCAAAATGAAATAGCCTTCATAGATAAACTGATGTAGAAAAATATATTTATTGAATTAGAAAACTATGAGTAATGAAAGCTGTCATATAACAGTTGATTGAACAACAATGTAAGAAGAAAAAAGAAGAAGTAAATAAAACAGAAGCTTGACTTTGTGACTTTTTAATAAAAAATATAAGATTATATGAGTTGATTAAGAATATCATTTGATAAATGAATGTTTGACAATGTATTGGATAACTGAAAAAAATCAGTTCTATGTATGTATAAGCAAAAAATGATTTTTTGTTTTAAATATGTAAAATTTGCACAAATAAAGATGCAAACGAGTTTTCTTAAAGTTTGGACTTTTAAGGGAAAAAAGTATAGGATTCTTAAATTTAAGTACAATTAAATGTACATGACTATCACATATATCTCTGTCTCAAAAACAAAGATTTCTTGAATGTTTATTTTTATTTATGTTATCTATATTTTATATTCAAGAATAAACATATAACAAATAAATATTGTTAACAAATAACTTAATAAAAAATAGTTATTCAAATATTTTCTTTAACAAAATTTAACAAGTTTAAGTTAAATTTTGCTTGGAAATGTATAACAAATATTGGATTTGAATTCTAGTCACAAATATTTGTGCCTAGTATTCAAATTGATAAACAACGTACTCACAATAAAATAAAGACAATTTTCAGAGACCAAAGTCATCAAATTCAAAAGAGATATATAATTTGTTTGAATGAATTTGTTAACAAAAATTTGTCATCAAAAGATCACAACAAATATGATACATGATAGAAAATTAAACTAAACATGATAGAAAATTTTGTATGGGTTAACATAGAAAACGCGGATCAAGCAAAACAAAGACAACCGCTTAAGCTTTCATTTTTTACTTCAGTACATATCTTAAGACGTAGAGCATATCTGGTATGTACTTGAATATGGAATATATTTTTTGAAAATATATAATTCCAACAAGGAGTTTACATATGTATTTACATGAATTTTATACATCTATCTTATTTTTAGATGATACATAACTTGCAAGATTTTTTATTTCAGAATTTGAATAAAAACAATTATTGAAAATTTACAATTAAACTTTCCAGTGAGAAGAAGATGCTTTGTAGTGAGTTCAACTTACCCCAATAATACGTTGAGAATGCATTTACTAAACATAGCATAGATCAAAATTGAGGTGATAGCTCAAACCAAATCTCGAAAAAGTTGAAGTAAATTCACAAATCAGGAAAATAATTATGATTTATAGAAGAAGAAATAATAAACAATTGATGTTGACAAGAATGAAAAAATTGATTTAAGAGATTTTTCAAATACGTATGAAAATAAAAATACTAAAAATTAAAACCTTTGCTCCATACAAATTAAAATTTATAATGCGAACATGATCAAGATTCATATATTATTCATAAAAAACATTTAATTTAATTAAAAAAATTAAGATTTTGTATCAAAATTGTTTTTGTATTTGATCAAATGAAAATTAAGTTGCAATTCAAGATGATTTAAGTGAGGAAGGATATAAAATTTCATAAATCATTAATAAGTGAACTATTTATAAATGATGTAATTATAATAAAAATTAAATTATTTTTATGGAGTTTCATTAATGCAAAAGTTCATATCATAAATGTACAACATAAACTTTTGATAAATTTGAAAATTGATATTCATATGTTACATCAGATCATACTCTTAGCAAAATAAAGCAATGTATCAAGTTTAAATACTTATAAATACATATGATACATTTTACTGTGATAAACTAAAATAATAAATGATTCAATATTCATAAAATGACATCACATGAAAAACTATGAAAATTTTAGAATATATCAATACTGATTGAATTCATAATTTTATAAAAAAATATTAAACAAAATATTGACACGTCAAAATTAGAATTTGTTGTATTACTTTTTTTTTGAAACTTAAAAATTAACCCAAGCTGTTTTTCTGTTAAGTGTGTTTATTTATAAATCAGTAAAAAATTCTATAAACACAATAAACATATGATCAAACGTTCAATTTTCACTATTTAAAATATTTGTGGGACATGAATATATTATTTACTAGTATTATGAAAAAAAATTACTTTCAATCATAAAAAAAAATGAAAGATTTTTTATTTTATTTATTATTCATGGGAATATTTTTTTATTTTAATAAATGAAAACACAAATATTATAAAAAAATGTATGATATGCTTAACAAAACTGTACTATATCAAATCATACATAAACCAAATAGTAGAATATGTTGTATGAGTTAAAAGCATACAGATAAAAACACGAATTTTCACTGAATTTCATCAACAATTGATTCATGTGTTTGTTGAACAATACATAAACTTCAACTATGAATTTAAATTCATATATTCTATCATCAACGATATTTTGTAGGCTTAATCATGATTATTACTATTATTTGAGCTTTTGATATACACAATGTGGGAACGAGTTATAATTGGCAATAAATATTTCACATGTTTTCAAAAAGCATTTTTTTATATACAGATGTAGTTAAAGATATTAAATCATGTGTATATGTTGGTTCCGTGTTGAATGTGTATGTTTTTTCGTGTTGTTAATCTACTTGAAATTCTTGAATCTTATTTTAAACATTGATGTTAGAGCAAAATTTGATTCATATCAACTTTTCATTTCAAATTGTTCAATTAATGTTATTGAAAAGTAAAAGAAGTCATCAATATTATATGATAAAGTTACGTTCATTTCATCACATATGAAATTTTGTGCATGTCATTCAATACATGAGATTGTATATATTATGATAAGATTGAAGATCTCATTTTGTTCATTTTTATGTTTACACATAGATTATACATATTATTATACTTAATTATCATAGACTCATCACACCATACAATCTATTATCTATCACCATGTTTTAATTTTGATAATAATTTCACCAATCTACAAACTAACTTATCTTCTTCTGAACATTTTTTAGTTGTCTAATTCATATTTGTTGTTGTTGAGTTCAATGAAGTAATGATATTACTACATCTATAAAATTTGTAACTAAATTAAATATTGCATCAACTGCACAGGCAAGTTAAATTGTAATATAATTTGCATATTCATGTTGTGCAAAATTTAGAATCATGAACTTATACATTAACATTCTACAACAGTTATCCATTATATTTCAGCTTGTACATTGTTTTGCAATCAATCAAAGCTTCATTTTTTTAAATCTCTACTAACTCCAATATATTATTTTTCATCAATGACTCCACTTCAATAGTCTTGAATATGCAATAGCTTATATTTTAATCTAAATATTTTTTTATTTTGTATACAATTTACTAAAATGGAAATGACATTTACATTTTATGATAACTTTTATGTTTAAATTTGTTTCCACAAATAAAATACTCACTTCAATTAAATGATATTTTTATTAATGTTTACAAATGCAATAAATTTTAAAATCATGCTACTTCATTCATAGTTTTTTTATAAAATGATAGACAAAATGAAAATTTAAGTTTTTTGTGAAATGCACAAAGCCCACTCTTGGCTTTTTGGATTTAAATGTACTTGAATCAAAATGGAAACTGCTCTGATAGTATGTTAGATTATATGAGCAAGATTATATGAAAGAGAGAGATCAATCATAGTTGAAGATTGATTGAAGTCTAATTGATGGATGATAATAGGTGTCTCAAATTGGGTTTAAGTAACCAATCCGAATAGTACCAAAGGCCATGAGGGGCACAAAGATTGCGCCTCTCGAAAGGAATATGCCCACGATAGTGGCACACATCCCTATCATGGGACACACCCATTCAAGGGTCGCATACTCAGTTGTTATTCATTCTAACCACTAGTAATCCCGATTCTAATAATTAGTATATTGTGTACAGGTCCCAAATAAGTAGGGAGTAATCTACATTCTAACATAAGTTGATGAAACAAATAATCCCGATTCTAATAACTAGTACATAGTGTACATGTCCCAAAGAAGTAGGGAGTAATCTACATTCTAACATAAGTTGATGAAACAAATATTTGCATCTCGCATTATACAATATTTGATAATAATATTATTTTTTTATAATTGTTTTTTTTATTGATTTGCTTAAAATGTGAAGAAACATAACACATGTAAAAAGAAAAATTTGGAATAGAAAATCCATAGTTATATTTATTTATGTCTTTAATCATGCACAAACTTAAGCAGATTATGTCAAAAATTTCAAATGTATCAAAATACATACACAAATGCAACCGAAAGATGTTGAGTACCATTCACTGCAAATAAAACACAAGAATAGCTTGCACACTCACAACATAGACAACAAACTTAGGTTCATCATTGCAAAATACAGATATTATAACAACTAAAACTTTAAACATTAAAAATCTTAACTCAGTCACCAATAGTTTTGATGAACTTTTTTTGATTACCTGGTTCAGGTAAACAAGATTAATTTAAACATTATTGAAATGACGTTCATGTTATTTTATAATAATTTCCTATATATTCTATGTCTTAAAAAGAATTACCTCCACAATCTATCCATATCTTCAAAAAATTCTAAAAGTAAAATCTAATAGAATTAACAAAGTAAGTTGGAAACAAAACAAGACAAAGTCGAGAAATTTTTTTTAAAATTGCTAAAAAAACTTCTTTTAGTCCTTAAGCAAAGCAACATGTCACTTTACAAATCTTATGAAGTAACAAACTTGTTCAAAATTGTAACTCAAACTAGAATGACTCATTAGTTTAAATCAATCTTGATTTATTCAAAATTGATTGGGCAAATCAAGATCTGTATGAGGTTTTTTAATTTTGTAATCACAATTTTTTTGGTGATATTTTGACTAAATCATATTTTCATATGAAAATATAGGATACCAAATATACTTATTAATCTTGTTGTAATCGAATTTAGATTGTACTAATTGTCTACGGCTTAATTTTAAAATGATATTAGTATAAATAAGATTAAAACCATCATAATTATCATATCATGAGCTTTGATTTTAACATCATTCAAATATACTCTTATCCCTGTTACTTATAAATCCCCTAATTTCCATTCAACATAAACAATTTCAAGAAGTTTAAGAAATCATAACTATAATACGTCAAAACTATGGATTACTTTTTACGAATAAACAAGCAATGTCATCTTTTTGGATGGTATCTTCATTTATGCATCTCGTCTGCTGTCATTAATCTTGTGTTTTGCTCCCCCATCCACTTGGAGTGTATATTATTATAAGAACAATACAAATTTCAGTGAAAGAAACCTGAAATCAATGTAGTGTACGTTTTCTGTAATTCAATTCGTTATTGTCATCACCACAAAGCAATATGACATTTTTGTTACAAATTAACGTCTGATGAGAAGCAAACGAATAGAAATAATACCTTGAATTCATGGGAAATAAAGCTTTTATAAGGATAGAACTATTTAGGCAAAACTTTAAGTGCATTAGCATAACTCGTTGTAAATTGGTGAAAAGTTGAACCCGGAGGATGAAAATTGGATTAGACTAAATATAATTATTGAAATGTACTATCAGATTAAATACATGTCTTGCAAGAACTCCAACATTATTCTTGGAACCAACAACTACGGACCGTATGTTCGGAGGCACTGAAAGACTTCCCGAAAGACGGAGAGATGTGTTGTCTTGGGGGTTAAAAGACTACCATTCGGTGATTATGCCTAATTAAATGAAGATCGAGAAAGTCTTTAGCAGATCCTAAATATATTCCAAATTGCTGGAGATGGAGATATAGGTGTAACACATGAAGATAAAGTTGAATGAGTTTGACTTGTTTGTCAAATTTTGGTCCAGCCAACTTCATTGAAACTGTAAGTGTATGCAAGCAATAACTTACATGGCATGGGGAATATGAGACATGGCCCATGTCACATGGGCAATGTTAACCATACATTTGTTTGATATATAGTCTTCAAAAGGGGTCTTTCTTTACTTTATACAGGGCCGATGTATGGTATGCTTTGAAAAATGACGAAGAGATCACAAGTATGCGGGTCATTATTACTTCTACATTGTAACTGCTCCATTTAAGATAGTAAAGTGAAATCCATTCACTCAGGTTCGAGGAAAGTCCCGTCTGATCACCGATTCGTCAATGAGTTCGATTTACTTAGGGAATATTCGACTTAAGAGACATTCTTTAGTGGTTCAGCTTTCTCTGGAAGGGCCTTCCACAAATATTGGTCGCCCAATTCTGCTTTCTGCCCGATATAGACGGAGAGAAGGATCTCGATACGGTACCCTCCCACTGGGTGCTCTTGAACCTGGTTCACCGGTTGAAGCCGGTGGACCCGATGTCAGGACATGTGGATCATAGCGCAGGCAGTAATTAGATCAGAGATCAGAGCATTGTTCCGATACCTCGTGGCAGAAACTGGCACGGGAGAGTGTAAATGCGGAACATCAGTTGTAAGCCCGAGAAAGACGAGGAGTTTACAGCCACACAGCAGCGACGGACAGATAGCTAGATATGTCGTGCACAGCACGAGTGCCTCCCAGATAGTACCTTCATGCCCGCGGCGAGCGAGCGATCGGTCGGACATCTTCGTCTGTTGCAATTTGATTTCAACGAGTTCAGCTCAGAATTTCCTGCAGTGTCATGGTTTTTAGCAGGTTCCTCAGGTGAAGGAAGGGACGTGAAAGTCTAGTCGAGGAGAGAGTCAGGTAGGGGGCAAAATTGTTTGGTAGACCGCATCATCATCACCTGCGGGTGCAATTCAGTTGCGGTTTGGGAGCAATGAGCAATTACTGTCTGCTGTCGTCGAGATCCAGTGAGGTTTTTGCTCTTGGAGTCGGTCCTTCTGCTGTTTGTGGTGTCACAGGGGAGTATACGAGAAGCGTACCGAGCAGAGTAGTGGTGGGTTGTAGCGCCGAAGACAGGTGGAAAGCCAGACCACATGGCGGGGCTGTAAACAGAAGAGAAGCAATCACACAATTGGGTGCTGGCGCTTTGGCGGTCACATTTCTTGATCGCAGTGCCGGGCGCTCCGCAGCAGTCCAGCAAAATCAACTGCCTGGACGAATTCCTGGCTTGTCTGATGCCGATGAGAAGGGTGAGATTTTTCACTCGCGAAATTAGACTGAATTCTGAAACTTGTTTTCAGTCGCTGGTTTTGCCGCGTACACTACTCACGCATCAAGCCTACCACCACGAAGGAGTATTTTGTTCTCTGTCACAATGCTTCACCATCCCGAGGAACATATTCAATGACATTTAAACTGGAATTATATAACAACAGGGTGAGCATGGGCTTGAGCATGTCGGGTGAATTTTTGACGTGTATTCCAATGCTTTGGAATATCTGTTACTTCACTTCAAAACTTTCTGTCGGAATAGCAAAACGTAGTCCCTTGATATTCCTTTTGTATGATGATCGGCTGTCTTGTGTAACAGGGGTTCGGACTTATCGAAGACCTGATGGTAAGTCAGGCGGACATGGAGTGGGTTGGAGTCCGATTATTCCGTATACTTTCAAAGTTCCCACAGACTGGCAGGAGGTGAGGGTTCGCCTCCTATCTCCGTTCAATTTCCTGCTTGAGGTGGTCACTGTGTACACGTATTTCACCACAAATTTTCTACCTTTGGGCCATGCAAGTTCTGGATTTATGAATATTTAATTATTTATGAGAGTGACTCGCCACCCCCTCTGAAAGTTGCGCGTAGTGCAAGACATGCAGCTACGGACAATCGCTAACTCAGTGTAATTTAAATCTAAAGGCTGCTTCTCGTGCTGGTGGATATGCAGAACTTTTAGATGGGACATGTCCAAATCCGAGTCTATATGATGTTTGTCTGATATGAGAAAAGCATGAAAATTTTGTTACTCAACGCTTTCATATCTTCTGAACATTTTTTCCATCTCTTATTGCCATCGTGAGCCCTGCTTCTGTTCTCTGCCCCGTGTACTTAGAAAAATCTTTACGGCTTGGCAGTGCAGATTCCTGTCTCAATAGCGGATCTGGGTGGTACTGAGATAGATCTGCGCTTTCAAAGCCCCTCAGAGGGTAATATTAGCGTCATTGTTGCACCAGTGCTTCGATTCTCAAGCGGTAAGATTTGAAGGGAGACATGAGCTTCGTGTTCTGTAAATTCTTTCGGGTGACAGTCAGTTCAAATGCATGAAGTACCTACTCGTGTGTCGAGAAGCTGTATGAATGATATTGCGCAATTTAGGTTTGAAATGATTATCACAGTGTGCACGTGCAAAGTTCTTCACTGCATGCTCATGGTACCAATGGAAGCACGGTGGCGATGCATTTTCGCAGAGCTTGGAGACAATGTGAAGATAGAGGACATCGGTGAGCCGCAGAAGGTAATTGATGCTTTCGGACCGGAGATCACTGGGCAGAACGTGGAAGGGAAGGTGAGAAACATGGATGTAAAGAAGTACGGAGGACGTACTTATTATCAGTACGAACTCGATGTGCCCCACATGCTGGTCACTGCGACTGCTGCCGGAAATCGACTGTACTTATTGAGCGTCACTGCAAATGGTAAACTCCCTTGCCTTCGAGTTTGCCATTACGTCCATACTCCAGTGCAGCTTTGTCTGCCGCTTTTGATATCGTTCGGGTTCTTGTGGATGTCTCATCGAACCTCTCATCTCTCTGTCTGTCTGCAGGTCGCCAGTGGAAGAAATTTGCACCAGATTTGAGAGATATCCAAGACTCATTCCGCGTGGAGGCATGAGAACCTGCTTGTGTGCCGAGGATGCCCATACCTGTCGGTGGGGACTGGCCTTATGCATCCTTGGTCACTGTCTATATCATCAGCATCGTCGGGTCCAATCAATTTATGTGACGCTAGAAACTTGGCTAGACGCAGTCGCATGCAGCTTTTTGTACTAAAATTGTTATCCTTCTCAAATCAGTGTCAGCTCGTAGAGTGTATCAATATGATCATTTTTGCTTTGGCTCGAAGTATGTGATGCTTTTCCGGGTTCCGGATTCGTTAGAAGAGTCAGTTACCCGAGTCAACGACTTGCAGGCTTTTACAACACACTTTTGAGAAGCCTTAGAGCTGTGGAATTAGACAGAGCGAAGAAACAATACAAGTATGTAAATGAACCAACTCTTGTGTATTCAAGTCGGGAGGAGTTCAATTGAGCTTTCATTGTGGGTAACAAATTCAATACCATTGGTTTCAAATGCGTTTACATTACAAAGTGTTCGATTTTATTCTTTACTCCTCCAGTCAACTTAGAATCAATTTATAAACAAAATCTGAACACTTAATGATATCGAACCAGGCTTGATAGTGTGACACTAAATACTTGATACTTCGAGTGTTTCATCGAGAAATGATCAAACCGTGTTCATGATCAAATGTCCAAATCATATTCATGATCCCAGTAAGACAAGAAGGTTGAAACCTTAAAGGCGTCTACCACAATATCTCTCTTACTTAACTCTCTTAACTTGCATGAAAAACTGTATAGACAGGTGTCTTACATGTTCAAATGCGACAACAAATGGCAAAACAGCAATTCAATTCCGACGATCAAGAATTCTATAACCAACATTTCAGCCCATATATTGCACTCCGTGTAACGATGGATGTTCAATAATCAATGCACAGACATGAGTTGAAATTGGAATTAAACGCTCTTTGAACATTAGTTCATTCACTTGAAATTTGAAGTCTATAAATCGAGTAGACTCTCTAAGCAATATCTCGGATTACTTCATTCAGTATTTATAATTGAGCCGGCCATTGTGAATAAATTTCAAATTAATACTAGTTTTAATTGCAACAGTTTCGAAGCTTTGACATAACGGATACTCCAAGCAACCATTTGTTTCTGGAAATTGCTGGCACATGTAAAAAAAGTTGACTATTGAGAGATCAAGTCAGATAAAAGAGCACATGAAATGTATCCCAAGAATAAAGAGAGCAGCTCAGTCTCCCGATCAATGGGGTGATATGGGGAGAGTTAAGCCCAAGGACCTAGTGCTAGGCTAAGCCACCATCATTTTACTTCGGAGTGAAATAATAGTACAATGCAAAATTACTTGAGAGTGTATACAAGTACCCTACATCATTTAGATAATATAATATTCATTGAAATTCATTTCAGCATTTCTAAACGATTCTCTTTCATGAATAGCAGATAAAATATAGAATATATATTCCATTCTCTCATCTCTCATCTTACGGCTTAAGAAAAAATTCAACACTTTAAGGTACCGTAACACAAAACAATTGCAACTTATATACAAGTACGAGTGACCTACCATCGCCTTTATTCGGAATGATAAACATATTTTATCATAATGAACATATACATACAAATGATGGATTGCGGATGTGCAGTCCGATGAAAAGTGAGAGATCATCATTTTCATTCGTCTGCAAAATTCTCACCACAATTTACAACATTCTGAAGAGTTTTGGATTCGACCACTGCCAATCTTTGAAATGGACAAGTTACTCGTCGTGGAAGAAGAAATATACGGATAACGAAGTTATAATTTTTGTTACAACTTCGTGATAAGATAATGAATTGTCACCCGCTACACGTTACATCAACGTACGAGGTGACGGGCCTTCCCTTGCTTGCGAGTTGTTATTTTAGATTGTACCGTGGCCGAAGGAATGTTTGACCCACCGCAGCTTTCTTAGCATGAGCATCGCTGTACCGCCGGGTTTTCAGAATGTGCTCCATGCGCCCTCGATTTGGGTTTCATGATTGCTTCCAGTACAGGCAGCAAGCAACTTGTTTCGAGTCGGGCCTGTAGGTCTGGGGAGACCGGCACGTGCTTGCAATACTTGTGAGGTTAGCGACCGTCGAGCCAAACGACATCGTCGTGAGGACTAGACGGGCTCTCTCGATGGTTTACATATCGTATTTACTCGGGTGGAATTCAGGAGCCTTGGCTTCTCTCTCGATGAGCCAGTTCATGATTCGACTTGGAGTTTGACGACTTCCGATTTCGTCCTGAGCTGTGTTTGAGAGGATTGGTGGGAAATTTAAAACCTAGGAACGCAGTCCAGATAGACCGAGCTCAGATATCAAGGAAATCTTTCCTGCGTTTCGGGATTCCAAACACCGGTGAGTACAGGAGTTTTACCTCGTGCAACGGGGTTAGTGGTTTCCAGTTTGCGCGTTGCGCGTTGGGTTGATGGGGGCAGTAAGCAGCGAGAGATGAGAGAAATCTTGTGTGGATCTCCGCAAAGTGCTACAAAAATGCGCCCATGGGGGAATTGGATATTGATATTCTAGTTTGGTGGGTCTCTGCAGATCTTCGGCTCGTAGTTTGAACGCGACTGCGCATTTTCGATTGCCGGGTGACAATATTTCATGCTCATAAAGTGGAGATCCTGAGAGTGGATTATTCGATTACCGGACTTGAGGGTGGTAGAATCCATCCCAATCTTCTGGAGTCCAGAGGTTTTGACGTTTGTCGTAATGTCGGCCCGAATGGTACAACGAGCTCTGAGGAACCACGATGTTGGATCTTCTGCACTGACGGATTTAGGCCGCAGTGAGTCAGATGACGATCATGCCCAAGAATCCTCCGTAACAAATCGTTTTGATCTCTTAGGGTTACAGGTAAGAACTTTGACTCTTTGCATCGTCTTCTGACCTTCCTTTCACCCTTGATATGAGTTGAGTTTGCTCGTCCCAGATTTTCTGACTGGCAATTTTTCTTCCCTTTTTTCTTCTCACTGTTGGTTGTTCTGGTTTTTATCGGTTAGTTCTCTTGGTCCCGCTGTCACAGAAGCTGGTAGCTGTGCCGGGTATTTTTTTGGTGACGACCAGGTCTTGCTACTTTTAAAATTATGTCGTAGGAACTAAGGGGCTGGATGCGATTTTTCAACAGGAAGATGGTGAGGATGATAACGAAGACGAGAAGACTGAGAGGCAATCAGACCAACAAAGCGTTGCAGGATCTGCTTCCACTTCAGCATCATCATCCGTTAAAGCAAAGAGAAAGAAAAACAAGGGTAAGAAGAAGGGCAAACAGCAGCAGCAGCAGCAGCAGCAAGCATCTTCAGAGGAGAAATCTCACGGTGTTGATGAGGAGTCAGTGGATCAGGTTTTGAGTAGACTTGCAGACAGAAATGATGAAGCTTCATCCTCGACGCTGGGTAACGATTCAGAATGGTCATTTTTACACGCTACGAACGCATATGATAAACACTTAGGAGTGAATACCAAACACCTGAGGGCTGAAGATGAACTCCGGCGCATTTTTGGGTCTAAAGTTATAAATTCTGTGGAATCGGGAATGCAAAGGCGGAGGCAATCTGTTTCCAGGCGTTCAGGCAGAGGTATGCCTTTGAGGAAAAGCTTGTTGGTGGTTCCCATGGGGCATTGGGCTCGCTGGGATGGTGGAATGTCCATGGAGTGTACCGAAATTAAAGATGGCCATCAATACTTCAGGTGCTTATCATTGCCGTGTTTTGCATGCCTGGAAGGAATTGTTGTCATGATCCAAAGCTTGAACAAAATTACCCATCTTAGTGGTTTTTAGTCTCAAGTTTGACACTTCTGCATCTTTACACTCTTATGCCGCCAGTTTTACTCTTCTGGTTTTATGTTTCACTATGTCACACTGTCCCTCTCTTTTCTTCCCATCTCTTCGTCTTCAAGTATACAGTATCCACATCCTAGGACCGGTCAGCAAGGATGCGGGGTCTGTGGTCTTCAGCCTATGATAGGCTCGTTCTAATGAGTACAGTTTATGCTGTTTGTTCTTCCCATATCTTCTATCGTCGCATTCTGATCTTCTTTTCGTCTCCTCTTGAGCGCAAGGGATGTCTGTCCAATTCTGGGCGGTCATTGAAAGCCGAAGAGAGCTTCTGTGAAGCTTAACATTCTATTGCCGCGTTTAAGCCTTTAGGTGTATCATCGAAGTAGTTTTGAGCTTTCAGCAATGTGAGATGGATGGACTTTCGCTCTCTAACATTCTTTTGTCTCTGTGACTTCTGAAAACTACGTATCGAACGAGGAAATCTTGTCTTCTTGTGGTGTACTAGCCTGACAGTGCAATCTAATGTAAGAGCTGTTCACTGAGTAGCAAGCGGGCCATGTGATGCTTTTGATAATGGAAGTCAACTTGAGCAGGTGCGGCCTTGTGTGTTGTACTAGGAGGGAGCGTTTTTTCACTTTTGTTAATCTCGACATCCACGTGCATGTTCTTCACGTATACCGAACCGGATGTGCACGATAATATCGCACATTGAACTTCGAATAAATGCTGCGAAGCTGGGAGATTGTTGGACAGTGACATGCTTCAAGCCCAGTTTGGAGTATTGATAAAACGCTTAGAGTTAATTCTCACCAGGTCAAATGAAGCATAGTAATGGTCTTTCCTTTTCTCCTACTTCTTATTGACTCACAAATATTGAGCCTTCTTCAATCATGTGAGTGCGATGACTATCGAGGAGTTTTCCTGTTGATTTGTGGAACTCCTGAACCAATCTCATATATACTGGAAAATGGAGGAGAGGGCATGCCTGGTTTCTCATTGAGTTTCATCCCCGGCTTGTCTGATTTTCTCAGTCTTTTCACGCTAGGACCGGTCAGCCAGGTCTATGGTCTTCAGTCTCTGACAGCCACATACTAATGATAAGAAGTGCATGAAGGATACAAGTGGAGGGTTTGGACTTGTGGAGTCCTCTTAACGCACATGCTAGGATCGCACAAGATCCCAAAATAAACAGGTTATGTTCGCATATTAGTTAGCAGCTCTATGTGAAGTAGAGGATTCGTCATTCTTTATGTTGGATTTTTAGAAGGCCTGGGCCTTCTGAACATCTGAACACGATAGGCCTTCTATACTAGCCTTACCGTGGCTTCTAAGGATGTCATGGACATATCTTAGAGCCACCGTAACGAGCCATCTGGGTAGTGAACCGAACTTTTCCAGCATATCCAACAGGATCAAGCAAGACAACGCTCCTACATATTCTTGACTAGATGCGACATTTAGCAGAAAATCCTCTTGGGAAGAACGACGTTTTTCTTTTTCTTCTCCTCAGTAACTGTTTTATCTAATCTCATTGCATATCGTGGTCATTTTGTTCGAATGGTTGGCAGCAGGATTGGTTATCTGGACGGTTTCTGAATCGACTATAACATACGTTCTGTCTCCTGTTCAGTCTGACGAAGCTTGTTGTTGGGTACATGTCTTTTCGTGGTTGTTATCGGTATTATCCTGCTTCAGTGAAAGTTTCATGTTTTGGTGGGCAGCTTCTGGGTGGTTCTTATCGCTCCCAGTAGTTTAACATCGTTTTGTTTCGGTCCGTTATGCTCTTTTTTTGAGCTAAGTTCATGCCTTTGATGTTTCTGCTCGAAGTTGTTTGTTCTTCCTTTATTGTTTATCCGCAGTCGATCAATGCAAGTTTAGTATTCTGGGTTACAATCAGTGTTCTTGTGCGGAGAAGCTTCAAAAAGTCCGCTGGCGCAAGGTTTGGACCGATGATACGGTGAACTCAAATTTTCACCGTGTATTACAAGTAATTTTGTGGAGCACGTTCATCGTAAGAACTTTGGACGAACTCACTCATCGCTTAGGGGCCATTCAAAAGAACTGGCTTAAATCATGTCAATGCAACAGCACACATTCCTTAGGAACTCCTTACAGTGTTTTTCAAAGAAAACAAATCATCTGATCATGGGTTCAGTGTGAGGTATGTTCTTTGTGCCAATGGCTGTCAAAGTGTGGCCTTTTGTTTGGACGGCTCCTTGCTGGCTATCCTGCATAGCCAGCAAAACCTTTCTGTTACCTGCTCCTACTACTGATTAATATTAATGAGTTTTGTTTGAGCTATTCTCACCTGAAATTGATTGCCTTGATTGTTACTTTGTTAGAAATTGTTAGTGTGATGGGAGGAGATGACGAAACTGCCTCGTCTGTTGATTATAATGGACCTTCTGTGATCAGTTTGTCTTTTCCGAGATTTATAATTACTTGATGGATCCTTAAAGACCAATAAAAGATTAAGAATACCCTGCAACTTGTATACTATTTGACAATATATTACAAACCTTCTGTCCCTTTACTTTTCAGAAAGGTTAATCACGAAATAACGAACAGAATCATAGAACAGAATACGTCACAGAACATTTTCGCACTTCTGGTGACGTCAAGTTTTCGGTTTTTTCAGCATATATAGTAAAAGATATTACGGAACTGTCAAAAGAAGCAAATGGATGAGTTAGTATCTTGGCTTTCATTTGCAAAAACCGCAGGCGACCTTATCGACATTATGATGGAGGCAAACCCCACTATAAGGCAGACCACCTTTCTTTAAAATTTCATCACCTTTCATTATCCCACTTCTTCTTCTTACTAGTCCTAATCAGTAGCAGCGCTCCGCCAGAGTGAGTTGTTAATGTTCTTCAGTCTGACAGGGAATACTGATTTCACATCGTACGCTGAAAAGATCATCTGCAAAAATAGAACTATTCGTCTCCCTTTTAGGCTCTATCCGACCACCTTCCCGCCTTTAAGAGTCGGGTAATAGTTTACAGTCGTTTATTGGTCATGATGGTCGTTAGACACTCAATCTCAAGTTCGATACCTTCTCATCTGTCTTCTACCAAGAGGTAGCAAAATGGAACCAACCATTGGATGATCTTTTTGTTTCTCATTTACTTTCTGGGCTTAGTATGGATAGTCTAGTCAAACATTGTGGTGACATTTGGATTGTAATTGATGAATTCAAATTGATGTTAGTTAAGGGTTCACGAAAAGTAGGACTTAGATCCTCTACGTCAAGAGGTTCATAGACTTTACAACGAGAAAGTTCTCTAGGCATGTCTGTCCAATCTATCTCTGCTTTCAGCATGGCCAAATAAGACGTGTGGTCTGACTTCCGATGGCCACTCTATGTCTAGCAGTGATTATTCAGTTGTAAACATGATGTCCGACATGACCCACAGCTGGTTGCTTTAAACCTCGCAAAAGTTTGTACTTGCTGAATTCAAGTCCTAGTTTTTTTGTCCTGCCGTGCTGTGTTCTTTAAAACTGTAATAGATTCGTACTGAATTAAGTTGCAATTGGAATCCGCAGCTACAAATATTCGTCATCATATGCTGAAGTGCAAAAAAAATTCGAGGTCTGTGTACGATCTCATAACCCAAATACTATAATCGCCCTTCTTCGCAACCATCCTTATCACGTGGACTCCTTACTAGCGTTGGCAGAGGTCTACAAGCATATGGGGGAATATCAACAAGCAGCAGAATTACTGGAACAGTGTCTTTACGCCCTCGAATGCGCATGGCACCCGTACTTCAATCCTTCTTTAGGAACTCATAGGCTGGATTATAAAGTTGATTCCAACAAGGCTCTGTTTCTGGCATTATTCCGTCATATGCAGCATTTGGGGAAGCGAGGTTGTCACTGCACCGCTCTGGAAATATGTAAACTTCTTCTCTCTCTTGATAGCACGGATCCGTGTGGTGCTCTATTTTGTATAGATTTCTTTGCCTTGCGTGCCGAGCAGTATCAATGGCTAGTGCAGTTTGTTGAGTATAGTAGTGATAAAACCATCCCCTTCCTTCCAAATTTTTCATACTCTTTGGCCATTGCCTGGTTCCGCATGGAAGAAAGCAGCCCAGAGAATAGAACGCAAAATTCTGGCACCTTGAAAGAAGAAAGTAGAGAAAGCAAATCGAAGGCATTTAAGCTCCTGCAACAAGCACTTGCGATACATCCAACGGTCTTGAAGAAAATTATTGACAAAGTACCCATCAAGGGAGATGCTGGATGGACTGATATTCTCAACCATCCTCATTTTCTCAAGGCCAGCGAAGGAGGACCCACTTTGGAACACCTCATCAGTATATATGTTGAGCGAAGTTATTTGCTCTGGAGGGCACCTGATCTCCAAGCTTGGCTGAAGGACGCTGCAGCATCGTTAACAAAACTTGCAGACAAAAAGAGTCCTGAAATGGCAAAGTGGGAGTCTGTTAGAGAAAAAGTTTCCCAATCAAACGATAATCAGTAAGTCCTCCTTTCCCCCTGCTGGAACTTGTAAATATTTTTTTTTCTACTAAGAAGCCTTTGCGGATTCTAGTTTCATCACAATCGCGAAGCATGCATGCTGATAAACATCGGAATCTCTTAGTATTGATGTTTAGGCTGTCACTTTAACTGTGATGTTTCTCAGTGAGCTCAATGAGTGTAAATGCTTTTGTTTTCCAGGTATCAACACCTGCAGGTTTCTGAATTTTCAGACTCCACCTCAACTCTCCCTCCAGAAGAGATTCCACAAATGATGTTTCCACCAGGCTTTGAGCAAGGACTCCTCGCGGAAGATTTTCTTGAAGTCGGTGGACCACTTGAACTTCCACCACTACAAGATGGCCGGGACATTCCCCAGGCTATTGAACATGCTGCTTCCCAGGGTCGCAATGCCTTGTTGCAGTTCCTACAGTCTTTGGTTCCGTGGATGGAACGGGGAGCTGGAGGTATTGATGAAGGTGCTCCTATACTGCTCGACGATAGTAGTGACAACAATGACTCAACGACAGGAGAGTTTGGAGATGAGAGTCCGATGTAACAAAGTTTCCTGCTTTATCAAATTTCAGAATGCGTTTGATCTGATTTTTTCGTCCACCTATGTGTTTACATCGCATTATATTGGTCCACATAATGTTCAAACATGTTTGTGTTATTCTGCAAGTCAAACCGGGTTCGAGTAGCGTAGTTGATAGCTCAGCTCAGCCCAGTTTTATTTCGTCAGTTGCACTGAGCAGGTATCTTGTGTCTGTTTGTTACGTTTTGTCAATCTAATCTTTCGTAAGGCGTGGGAAGTGTTTTTGCGTATACATGTATGTTCACCTCATAGGTTCTCATCAATAAGTGACGAAACAGAGTTTGACGCACTTAGCTGAAGTCCGGACTGTCCAAACAGTACAGCATCACTGCTTGCCTCTCAGCCTTGAGCTCTTTGCGTCGTTTTCCTCATCCGTTTGGCAAAACAATTTTTCTATACGACGTACATAACTGGTGTGACAGATAAAGAGCTTCATGGGTTCCCTCTCACTACATCCCGCGCACTTCATGCAGGACGCGGGGTCTCATGAAAGTAGCGAGTTCCCTAGACGTGTTGATCTTTGCAGTACATGCAAGGGGACTACTAATGACTGTGACTACTATAAGTGAAGTCCACACTGCAGAGGTCCACCAAATTTTCTACTCTGCAAGGATAAGAACGAATATGATTTTAGGCTGACTGGAGCATGTCCCATCATGATCAACTTGTGTTTGCAATTTACTGGTTTTAGTCAGGAAATGCGGTGACCTTTTCATGATTTTTTGACTATTTGAAGATTCTTCGTATAACCCGGAATCTGCATGCAATCATAAAATGATCAAAGTTGGATACTGAGTGCGTCCACATGAAACCCAGGACGACTGATAACTCTCTCCGATATTCAACCCACAACCGGTCGGAAATGCATTCATAATTTGGTCCATTCCATTTCAAATTTAGGGTTGTAATAGCATATGATTACCTAAATAGAGCATAATGGTAAAGACATCATCAAACAAGAACAAAAATATCCCAGATAATCACGAACTGTCACGGTTTAATATTTTATTGAAGAGTTTTATTTCTTAAGCCCATGTCACTCCGCCGCTGAAGTCATCACATTGCAAAATAGAATCACACTTAAGATTTGAAAATTATCTAATAAGAGACTTGAGATGCAGCACGCGATTCTGCAGTTGCTAATAACGGGGGAAAATTTCCAAATTGCACTGAGCTTCTAATGTACATATTTGCTTAAATAATGACTTACCTTATGCACCACTCATAACATCTGAATTGGAATCTTTATTTCAGATGTGGTATCTTCGACAAACCAAAGCAATTTGCACACGATAACAAAATATATAATTCACACATGCACGTAGGAATGTAGACTTAAAATTGAAAAATTATCTAATGGAAATGCTTCCATAGACAAAATTTTGAGGCGGGCAGTGATGAGCTCGTTGCGACAAGCTCTCAATCCGAAATCTTGCATCTCCAATGCCGATAATCGAATTCCATAAATTCGCCCCATTGCTGCCTCCTCAATTTCTCCCTCACAGACCTTGTTGAGCTCTCAATTCGCGATTGCACTCTTGTGGAATGTTGACGTTGAGCTCACGTTCCTCCAGGTGTAATTCGCTACCCTAACAGCATCGCAGACTCATGTGAATTGAAGGTACGAGTGTTTAAATTTCTTTCCCATTTGGTGCTGTCTTTTACTTCAACAAATATCCTTCGCCGAAGATCCTTCGTATGTAACTCGGAATGCACCAACGCCAAAGTCCGAATACTGTACTAAACATTTGTCGAAGTAGGTTCTCCGCTTCATACCTTCGCAGCTCATGATTCCCTTGTCCATTTCCAACGTTCTTGGGCTCATTGGAAAGAGCACGTAGATCTCTACCAATTTGGATCCTGTCTACTCCTACTCCTATTCAGCGTCTATTCCAAAATTTCCTACTTACTCTTTTTCTTACTAGTCTTGTTCTAAAAGTTTGAAATGTCTAGTACTTTATTTCTCAAACTTCATTTTTTTCGAGAAAATGAAATAACTACGCTATCACAAAACGACTTGTTATTGAATGTCATGAATCTGACATGGAAATACAAATGGGCAAGCCTCTGTTAAGTTGGCAATTGCCAAAATTGTCTTTATTCAACATATTATGACGTCACTCATAATATGATAAATATGACCAAAATCTTCAATTGCTTGAAATGCTTACAATGCATGAAGCATTAGTGACAAATCTATTAATGGCTATTTCTACTCATATTTCTCCCAACTAATCACGAAAAAATTGCCTTCCAAAAATGTATTATCAGGATACACATCAGGAAAAATTTCTAGGAAATATACATAGTTTGGGAAATTGAATCAGAAGTATTCCATGCTTCATGCAAAACAAGAGATTTTGGCATTTGATCCACTATTTTGCGGAGAGCATCCATCAACAGCACGCAGATTTTTTTTCTTCTTTGTGTACAAACGCGTGAATGTATTCGAAGCTGAATTTCTTTTCAATGTGATATTGGAGTTTAATGATAAGGTACACACAGCTTGATGGAAACATAGTCGCGAATTCTAGAGTAAAACACGGGATAAAGAAGCTGCCGTGCATTGTTACCATCGCTTCCAATCTCAACCTGCGACACTAACTACTAAATCTCCATCGGAACAAATCACAACATTCTTCTTAACGTACGACAAGTTATCAAATGACATCACAATAATCAAACCGCACCTTCAAACAATATGTACAACTTCCTTGACATCCATGTTAAAACCATTACGACATGATATGACTTGATCTTGTTTATGGATTTGTGATTCAAAAAGTAAACCTTGCATTACTATCAAGTATTGAAAATAGTGGATGAACCTAGAGATGAGATCTTTCTGCTGTGGTACCAGCAATGCGAAATGCTACAAGATTTCAAACAGAATATCGATATCTGCAACAATTAATATTAGTGAAAATAAAACAATCTACCACATAACAATCCGGTTAAAATCAAGATTTTTTTGATACATGTATTCAATAATACGACAATGATTAGTAAAAAATCAAGGCAACATTTTGCTCAACGATAACCAACAAGTCGTAGCTATCTTTCATTAATTGAAATGTGCTGTCGGCGTAGTTATCCGACAGTGATAGTTAATGTCGAGTAAAATCTTTTATTGAGACATACATAAACGGCTTCAATCACAAGATTGATTGAGTTGATGTGCAACACACAAGAATTGAACTAAGTAGCAACCATTTTATTCAATTCGATTAGATACACTAGTCATTATTCCACAAACTTGATTCGTCATATTCCGGGCACCATTGTTGATAAGAACATATATCTCTAAGACATACAAATTGCATCTACGAAATTCTTAAATGTTTCAAAGAATTTGTCTCGAGTGTACGTCACGTATAGAGTAAGAGAACATAAATAAGCACTACAACCTCATGCCCATAACAAACCTCACTCAAACATCAAAATACGAGATATTTTCACCAGTGTATGAATCAAATAAAATTAAAAAAAGTTAAAAACTAGCAAATATTATGATGAGTTTCTTAAATGTCAAACAGCGATAGTCACGGGAACAAACAATGTTACTTTTGCTTCATTGCATCTGCCAAGATAATTGAAATTCAATTTTTTGCGTGCACATTTCACTTGGTGTGCTGTCAACTTAAACATTAATTTAAACGACGAGTCAAAATCAACCATCTCAATAACAAGCTTGAAAAGCTTGATATTCTTGATATGAACTCGATAACATACAATCACATTGTCGGATTTGATCCACTTGAAAAAATATTTACAGCTTTGGCATCAAATAAACTCGTCCGTAGAATTGTATTGACGATGTTTATGTTGATATCAAAATCTTACACTCATCACGATGTAGGTCAATGGATTCTGGAAGGTGAGTCCATTGGGTTGTTGAGGACTGCACCAAAACTAAGACTAAATACTATGTACGATGGTGTACGCCGCTCCACAATGGAGTGGCAGAACACTAGAGCCGGTGTTAGGGCACCCTTCAAGTACCCCTAAGGCCATGACTACCACCCTACAAGACGATCCTTAGGCATGGCGCAAGAGAGCAGACCTTACTAGCTGATTAACTAAAATACAAAGAAGAGCTCTAAATAGCTCAAAAGAAGCAAAAGAAAATTTTCTGTAGTACCTTCTGGCAAGACACCCGTTTTCAAAACATGTTAATATCAACTTCCATTCCATTCTAATGACCACTTGATCCCAATTCCATCACATTGATTCTACCGTCATGATCTTCGAGTTGTTTCTTTCAAGTTGAGAGTCTGGAGGCGAAGCTTTTGAATAAAGATCTTGTGCTTTGCTGCAGGAAGAGGCTTGGTAAGATCATATGCAATCTCATTTGCAGATCTCACATACTGTAGTCATAGATTGCCCTTTGCAAACTGCTCACAAATATAGTGATATTTTACTGCAATGTGCTTGTTCTTCTGATGCAACTCAAGGTTCTCGGCAACTTTGAGACAACCTTGGTTGTCAGCCAAAAGCAATGGAGATTGGGCACTCTTGTCCGTGTAATCCAAGTTCTTAAGGATATATCGAAACCAAGTAGCTTCTTGAAATGCCATAGCTACGACAATGTACTCAGCTTCAGTTGTGGACAAGGTAACGTAGTTCTGACGCTTTGATCTGGCTATTAATAATACCTCTAAAGAAAAACCAGCAATATCCGGTTGTCGAACGATAAGTTGCTGTACATTGTGCAAAATCCAAATCTGTATATCCATAAAATCGACCGTAGGCTTGATCATATTCACCACCGTAGATAATTGCTAAATAAACAGTGCCTCTGAGGTAATGAAAAACTCTCTTGGTTGCCAACATGTGGTCTTTGGATGTATTGATTAAGAATCTTGATAGTACACCACATGTGTACAAGATATCTGGTCGAGTGTGAGTGGCGAGATACATCAATGATCCAATCATTGACTGATACAACTCAATCTCCTGCTTGGAGGCTTGAGCAATATTGAGAATCATCTGATTCTTCATACCACAATCCATTGAAGAATCCACAAGACGAGCCTTGGACATGCCA